CCCCGCTGGTTTCAAATGGTTTAAAGGAGTCAACAGCCCACTACACCAGTCCTCATTACAAGGTTTTGGTAGGGCTCTGAAAGAATTAAAGCAGAAGTCTTATGTGACCCTCGGTAATGGGTCAACTGCTAGTAACTCCAATGGTTTTGTTTTACTATTAGTGAAGTTATCATCAGGCTTTTTAAGAAGCCCGATCTGATTAGCTATCGATAGCATTTCGTGTGGTCTTGCATTAAAAGGCAAATACTCAAATTCCTCGCACAGCTTTCTTCACGATGCTCTCTTGGCTTTCCTAATTTATTTATTATATTTAGTTAGAGCTGTACTATAAATATCCCACTCTTCGGTTTTCTTAGCCCTATTAAATAGTTTCCTGGTCTTCTCCCTAAGTTTTTTTAGCTTAGTATTCCACCAAGGAAATTTTCGTGTTGAGGTCTTGGTTTTGACGGGACAACTGTCTTAGAAAGCTTCACGGATACCTACGGTTACTGTCTCCGTCGCTAACTCCAGACCTTCAATAGTTTTGAAGCTTTTAGGAAACGTTTCCAAATTTCTCCTTAGGTTATTTCTGTGTATATCACAAGAGGTCGCTTTTGGATCCCTAAAAGCAACGGTTTCATAGGCTGGTGATGCTCCAATAACAAAGTGAATGTGTTTGTGATCAGATATCGAGTTTTCACTACTAACAGGCTAGTCATTTATCCACCTGGACACGTTATTGGTAGCAAAGGTTATCTAACACTTCTTGCCTAGCACGCGTTACAAAGGTTGGTATACACCCTAAGATTAGGCTTACCAGGCGGTTGGAGATGGGAAAATCATAAAGTAACTCACCTCTTTCGTTGATGTTAGTGCTTCCCCTGGCTGTGTGGTGAGCATCAGCATCACAACTCACCACAAGTTCGGCATTGTGTTTTCGGACAAACTTCGCCACTCGCTCCAACGCGATGGTAGGATTTGAGTTCTCTCCGGGAAGATAGGCTGAACAAATGATTATTCTAGCTCCTGTGTATCCCCTTGAGATTTATGAAGGATGTAACCAGGTCATATTTGCAGTACTCTGGAATAGCTAAAAGTTCAATATTTTTATTGTAAATTATACAAGCTCTGGGTCTACTGCCTTTAGTATTGACTATCCCAGAACTTGACCGTTGGCCACCCAAGGCTCTTGTATGAGGGCGAGCTCAATATTGTCCTCTGCAAAGCAAACCTACATCACGGAAGAAGCAGCTGCTGCATGTTGAAGATTTGCCTGTAGACTCTCGTCTTACCCTTAGGGTTAGCCATTTATGGGCGTGGGGGTCAGGGTTCTTTTCCACTTTTTGAGGAAAAATACTTCCTTTACCGGTGCTCTTGACCCCGGCCTTACCTTTAGCTGTACCGCTCCCACCTCACCTCCCCCTAAACCTGGATGAAACCAGCGGAGGCCGTTGTACCGAGGCGAGATCAGCGCCTTGGGTCTTCGTCACTCTCACTGATGTCGTTCCGGTCTCACCCAGAGAGGTGGAGGACTGGGAGGATTTGAGCTGGGGTGGTTCAGGCTACAATACTGCATCAGAGCCTCAGGTATTATGGGTGAAAGCTTCACAGGCTTCCTAGGCTGGTTTTTGGTAAACTCTTCCACAGACTTACTGCGTTTTTTCACCTTCGGAACTGGGGGAGGTTTGGGTAGAGGAATTTCATCCCATGTTCTGGCAGAGAGGGAGGGCCTCTCCTATCTCAGCTGCTATAAGCCTTCGGTACCTCTTCCTTGCTGCCCCTCTAAGCTTATAAGGCCTAAAAAACTTTTCATTTCCCCTCCCTGGTTCGTTTTCGATTGTGGTTTGGCTGCAGACGTACTCATCACTTCACGGCGCGTCCCAGGTTGAGGTGTAGTGTTGCAGGGTATTGGTGAGGCTAAAAGAGCCTATTCCAAGCCTACATATAGTTCCATTAGAGGAGATTTTACATTATTCTTTGCAAAATGTCGATTTTCGTCCTTTTTGGTCCCGCAAACAGCTAGGGAAATATTCTGTCACTGCCGGGGGCAGAGCCCCGCTAGTGGGTAGCAAGGGCTAAAATACTACTCGAATTGTCCTGGTTTCGGGTAGTCACCGTTTGCGACTGGACTCCCTCCAGCCACGCATCTATCGACACGGTATGCTTGACACCTTGGATTGGGTTAGCATAGGAAAAAGGGGATGGGATAAAGAAAAGAAGAAGAGGATCGTTTGAGAGTTTCTGTTCTGTCTAAACCACGTGAAGGAAGAACCTCTCAGACTTTTTACGTGGTAGAGCCATGCTGCAGTTGTATTGGTGGTATAGTTGTAGCACGAATGGGTCGGCTCGACCGGGGAAGGACCACGCTCTCACAGAATACCAGCGTGAAATAGTAGCTTAATGCTGCTGTATTTCGTATGGTGAGTGCAGAGAACCGGAGACCCTTTTTACTGGAAACGAGGCATTCCATCTTAGTCCGCACGGGTGACAACGCATCTGCATTTTGATTCGTAATCGAGGATAGATGTAGATGTCTATGGGCCACAGCAACCACTTACCATCAGGTGGACTGTGTGCTCGTTTGTCACCCTATCCTATAAAAAAAAAAAGACTTACTCTGGGGATCAACACGACCTGCGCTCTCCCCCAGAGCCATTCGCCAAACTGCTCGCCAGACAGGAGAGTAGAATAGGCGTTAATCTACTCCTACTGATAATGTCAAAAATTTTGGAGTAGACTAACCCCCGCTCCCTTTGATAGCTTGTAAATAAATATTGATATGTTTATCGATATCATAATTCAGATCATTACACCTGTAAATAAAGATATTCATTATACTTTTATATTTTAATTTAGACTACGACCGACGTATATGAACTAGCATTTATAATAAAATAAGAGCAGAAAGAAGAAATTTTTACCATTTATTATTATTGACTACGATCAAGCTGAACGCGTGATTATTGTCGAAGTAATCGTTATCACACTAGCAGAGCCTCACCACGTCACGAAAGAGATATTTCATATTCATTTTTTTATTAAAATTGTGTTTTTGGAAATAACCTGGTTACAAAGCTTGAAAACACCGAACACCGACGGAGAAAATTTGGTCGTGGCGAAGTGATCTCAACTAGATGAAGTAACTACACTGTAAAATATGCAATAATTTAAGTCACAAAAAAGGATTATGATAATTATGATTGCTTAGCCAATTATTAGGGCTTTAATGTCACTCTTATACAGATTTGAAGCATCAGCATTCCTCATAAAAGTTGCAAATTGTATTTAAAGACTGCAGTTCCAAACCGCTTGTCAAGCGTGGCTATTACGGCTTATTTCTTACTATGGTTAATATGTTCATTTACGGACTTTTAAATATATTTAATTAGTGAATTAATGACTATTGTGCAGCGTACAAATATTAATATAATTTTTGATATTTACCTTGTTACAAAATAGTGTACACATATGACATTTAATATATTTAATCGAAACTAACACTAATTATTATGAACTTCACATATTATTTTAGATATTTAGATTATTTTTAGATATTTAGATTAGTTGCTCAAAAAGTGGCGTATTGCAGGGACCTATATTATTCGGGATGTGGGCTATTACATACTCGAGCTTTTTCTTTATCTTTTCCGAACTCGTGCGTTCTCTTTTTTCAATTTTTATTAAAAAGGAAAAACCAACCACGAAATTTAGCTAAAAAAATAATAGAAGTTTTTATGATTCATGCAAATATTTTTAAAAAACCAACTAATTTGTTTCAATATCGGATTTAATGATTTTATTCAATGAGTTAGGTTAGGTTTCATTTCATTTCATCTCATTAAATTTTATTTTCATTTCATATCAATAAAAAATTCTACTGAAGACTTGGCTGTATGGGCATAGTTCCCTTTGCCTACCCAGGTGAAGAAAACAAAAAATCTCTGCTAAAAAATTATTTTACGGTTGGCGCCATTTTCCAAAAACCTTCTTTGCGAGTTTAGTTGTTTGTTGCAAAAAATGAGTAATTTCGACTATATTTTATTTGAATTAACACCACCAGAACTCAGTATGATTGCACAAAATCCTACGGAGAACATATTACCGGTAAAGTCAAAAAGTCGCTACATAGTGATTAATTAGTTAAGTTTATTGTGTTTTTATCATTTTATTAAACTGATTCATTTTTTCGCAAATGTATTAAAAATAGTTGTTCAATACACGTGCGGAACCGTCATTGCAACTTTTTCCGACTGTCAACCTTCACTTTCGGCTGCGCCTCGGCTCGGGTACACATTTGCATAGTTAAAGCATTATAAGCATTTGAAAATAAATATCAGAAAAATATCAAAACTTCTACCCTATTTATTATTTGAAAACATAATACTATATTTTATAGTGTAGGATTTTCGGCACTAAACCAAATACAATCGAACCGAAAAAAAATATATATATATATATATATATATATATTACCTGATATTTTATTAAAAGTTTTCTGTTTCAAATATCTTTAACATTCATGCGTTAACACTCACGAACAAAACATATTTCGTATTTTATCCGTTTCATTAGCATTTATATTATAATAATGTGTAACCCCGCATTTCTTCTCTCGAGCCGAGCAAAAGAGTTTTTATACTTTTGCTTCTTCTGAGTTCGCTTTGTCCTTTTTTCGTTTCGCTTGTTTTATATGGGGCGTTTAATTTGATAAAATTCGCGTAGACTAGAATTGGTTTAGGAGAGTAGAAAATAGAGCGATATAAAAATACTCCAGGCGATGTCAATGATATGTTTTATCTGGCGCATCCGTTGGGTATATTATTATATATTTTATCTATTTATATCTTGCTTAATACTACCTATAAATTTCTTTATAATACAACTAAAAATAGAATTCAAATGAGGCAATAAATTTTATTCCACAACTATCGTTTACACACTACTTAAATTTTACTCTTTAATTCCACAGTCTCGCTATTGAGATAAAAAAATAAAATGAACTTTTTTATTTCTAACACTAGGTTTGCTACGCCTACAACAGCTTTACCAGACCATGCAGCCGGGACGGACAACGTTTCGAATCTCGCTTGTGAAACGCATTAATAACGCGTCAGACGCCATGGAATTTCTTTTGGCTCTGGAACAGTACGACCGATGGAGCAGTAAACGCATAGTGCTTGATTGTAACGCTAAAAACGCGAAAAGCATTTTGGTGGAGCACGTCCGGAAAGTACAACTAGGTCGCAGGACATATCACTACATGCTCAGTGGACTGGTAAGCTAGGTTTTTCTGTTTGATTGAACTGTGGCAGAATAACATTGAACGCTTTGTAACTACCAATTCTAGGCGATCTCAATTTTCGTTCATTTTAACCCACTGCTACTAAAACATAGTTTGTTATTTGAGCTCAAATATTATATTCAAAATATTATACTCCATTAAATTTGAACATTATAAATACGTATTTTATACGTTGATACTTTAGTAAAGATTGCTTAATTGTACTGCATGCTAAAATTCTTATGGAAAGGTATTAATAACCTTTATAAGGTAAAGTATTGAAAGATATATGTGTTTGTTTTACTTATAAAAAATAATTTGTTTAACAGGTAATGGATGATCATTGGGAGAATGAAGTAACTGAGTACGGAGCTGTAAATATCACAGGCTTTCGAATTGTAGATCACTCTCGAAAGGTTGTTCGCGATTTTATGGATGGATTACGCAGGATGGACCCACGTTTTAAGGGAACCATATCGGTAAGTCATATCTATTTATGTAGGATGAAAATTATGGCATATTAGAAAAAGCTTAGACCGCATATATTTGTATTTTTAACTGCTCTTATCACTACCTAAACAGTTTTCTGCCGGAAGTAGAGCACCTGTCACAATAGGAAAGATTAGGTGTCGTCACTTTTGACGCTTCTTCTCATATATAGCACCAGATTTTACTTTTTTTTATTTATAATTTTGTCATATTTCATCAAAATCCGTTTAGAAGTTTTTAAGTGATTAAAGCAACTAAAATAAATAATACAAATAAATAAATAATATTAAAACAATAAAGTACAACAAACTTTCACATTTATAATATTAGTAGGATAGGATGTCAATTTTAAAGATGGTTTTACTACTCACAATACCACTAGATACAGTAAATATGATTTCGTTTGGACTAAAAACTTTTATTTCGGAAACTATTTATAATGTTTGCAGTTAAGGCAGAGTTCAGAGGCAACCTCGAGATTAAACCTAAACTACAAAAAGTCAGAGTTTAGTCTAGACCATGAGTTAAACATTTTGTTTGATTTAGCTTTTGATTTAGACTCTAAGTAAAAAGCTTTATCAAATTAGCAGTGAAAAGTTAGCGGAAAGCAATGAAAGTTGCACGGGAATTTGTAGCTAAATAGTTGTTAAAAACGATTTTGTAATTCAAACTTGCTTAAAAAACCTGTGACAGCATTATGGTAGCATGGGCACTGATGCATGTTGCCAAGCCGAGCCAATCCTAGGAGTTTCTTGTCTTTTCTTACACGGTTCCACCAACAATTTTTTCCATTATTTGACTCAACGTTGATTTCATTTTTTTACTTCTATCTTCATTTAATCATAGCAGGAACCTGTTTTTATAGAACCAGTGTGTGCTACTAAATTGTTTTTAGCAACTAATTAGCAATTTTTTAGCTACAAATTCCAGCGCTAACATTGACTTTTGTATACTCTTCACTGCTGCCTTATTAGATATTTACAAGGTGAATGTTTGAGTTTATTTATTCGAGATAAGCAATGCCATTATGGTGACATATATATATATATATATATGTATATAATATAAGAATAATATACACTATACAAGTAGGTGGAGGTGTTCTGTTGACCATCCTGTAGATCGCCTCATAGGGGTTGTGTTTAAGGCTTTATACAGTAGTTCTGAAATTTTTGTACGTTTCCCGGTTGCTTCAAACGACTGAAATTCCTAATTTAAATATTGCTCTTTTTTTGCTAAATCTCGGGTACATTTTCTTGGATATTTTTATTGTTTGTTCCATTTGATTTACGAAATACTCGTCAGGCTCGTCGTATACTTGAGAGCTACTAGTACTAGGTTCAGCGCCCTTTGTTTCCACATCTGGTGTCCGGATTGGGGTGGCCAGTGTTCAAATATTTTAACAAGCATACAACTCGTTGCGGTCCTCTCTCTTCTAGGTGAACTCTCAAAGTTTCAAAGAACTGCTTCACCAAATCATTATTGATATGAGTATTATTATTGCTTTGGCTGTAAGTAATGAAGTGTTTTGTCGGCCTAACGCTTCCACAGCTATCTTTACTGGCTGTAGTAAATCGACAATTGACTACAAAAGAAGAATATTGTCTACATTCCACTTGTCTAATATGTTTAAATCAATCAACGCTTTCTTCACGCAATTTTTGAGCTTCCACTCCGCGTTCCGAAGAAAAGCGGGAAACCGTTCCGCCACCATAGTGATGGAATTCCACTTTGTTTTAACATCCAGTTGTAAACTGAGTTCAAAAGAAACACCACACCACACTCACATCATAAATTAAATTGACGACTGACTACAGAACAACTAATACGGTGGCATGGTGGCAATGCGGCAAACGCATTTATTGTGTTGTGTACTCATTAGTTACGAAGAAGACCAAGTAATTATTCATTAAACAAACTGACGGCGCTAGGTTCCTTCTATTATTTGAAAATAAAAATGATTACATAACAATTTCGGTAATCTTGTCTCGTCTCGAGTCTCGACCTGCCCAAACCCTAGGCTAGGTGCTAATACCAAATATCAAATTTTGAAAATTTAAGTACTATGTAAACTGTAAATATTTAGTTTAGAGATTTCAGCCAGAATAACGATCGTACGAAGACGTTTAATAAATGTTATGTTATAAAAACTATGAATAATAGAGAAATAATGGCACCAACCTATTTAGTCAAAGTGGATGCCCAAATTGTAATAAAAACCCTAGCAATATAACACCCCACCATCCTCTATACGGGGCATATTTATAAATCTTTTTTAGAGTACCAACAAAATTTTACGACAATCCCAAGGCATAACATAAAGTTAGAACTGAGGTGGTAAATATAGCTTCGTTCAAAGAAATTTCGACGTAGAGTTATAACGCGTTTATGTAGATTTCACTAACTTGCGTACACCCTAATGAAACCGTAAGTGGGTACCCCGCATAAATTATTACTTCATATTATGATCTCACCATTCCGAGTTACACTTCAGCCTCTTTTGATTTAACTAAATTCTCTTTGGAGAATTGCTTAAGAGAAATTGGTATTGTATTCATACTTATATGTATACGTTATAACATATCAACATGCTTTGCGTGATCTTGAGAAATTTCTTGAAAGTTTTGGCTAAATCCGATGCTGACAAAAGCGTATTTAAAATTAAATGGAAAGTTTTTATCACATTTTGATAAATATCTCTATATCGAATGGGGTGCGAACACAAAGCTCACACGATGTTAAATGGGTGCTGTGGCCAAACATAACCCAACCGTTTTTAGATATAGATTCAAAATAACGTCGTGCATTAATTATGCAAATACAAACAAAAAAAAAAAAACAGAACATAATAACAACTCTGTAAGCCGATTTTTTGATATTTAATTCTTGTTTAGTGTGAGCGTGCGCGCGTGTGTGTGTGACGGCATGACAAACAAGCAAGTAAATAGCCTTTCACATTTATAATATCAGTCACATTATTAAGATTTAGTTGAAAAAAGTTGATCATTATTCTAAGAATCCAAACATCCAAATTCCTCATAGAAACAAATATTGTTTAAAATTTTTGATAGTCTAAAAATTAAATTTTTAGAATGTATAAAAGAAACGGTAAGTTTCCCTTGTCAAATGGAGAATTTATTAATGTACAAAATAATATATCTTTAATGTTTCAATTGTTTTGATAATTACGTAATGTGCTTTACGTATCTTAGGCACAAACTGCGCTAATGTACGATGGGGTACAAGTATTGATGGACGCTCTTGGAAGACTAATGAGGAAAAAGCCCGATGCCTTTAGAAGTGCTCTACGTCGGGCAGCTGCTCAAGCGAACTCCACCAAAGTAATTGATTGCAATCCTGGAAAAAGCTGGGTAATACCGTTCGAACATGGTGATAAAATTACAAGGTTGATAAAGAAAGTGAGTTTTTCGAGTGGTTTTAAGACATTTTTAACTAGCAACTAAATTACATTATATGAAATTCACAATCCTTTGAAGTCAGTATACGTTTATCCACGAATGCAACAGTTAGCAAATTTTTATTGGAATATTTACCCTTAATCATCAGTTTAGACAGAGTTAACAGGGTTGTCCATCAACTGTCTGTGTAGTTTTAGTTAAGCTTCTTTCACGGATTTACCGCTAACAATCGTCAAACACTCGTGTGTCAGTTACGAGTACAGTACTTGCGAAACTTGACATTTGGGGGAAAAGGTTACATATCCCGAATACTAAAATATTTCTTTTAAATTGAAATAAGATAGTTCATTAGTTTAGATAACATGTTGATAATAAGCTGATGATAGCTTTTCCTATTGGTAGTTGGCAAATTTTACAGTATTCGAGCTGTTCGGGTTCTAGCTTCGTCGACATCAATAAAATTATTATATACTTGAGTGATAAAGGTTTTAAAAGCGACCAATCAATAGAAAAAAATAAGATACATCGCACTCACAAATACAATGTAAGGTAACTTTCTGAGTTAATGAGCTGATGGGCCACAGGCAGTTGAGCGATTCAGGTGGTTAAAAGCCATGGTCTGTAGCAATCTTTCAATGGAGGATAGGCGAAGATCTGCCGTAGTGATGATGATTATGAAGATGTTAATAATTTTATAAAACGGAAGAACAGTTTTATATATTAATTTTATATTTTAGACGGACATTGAAGGCCTGACAGGTAATATCTCATTTAATGAAGAAGGTCACAGATACAATTTCACATTGCAAGTTGTGGAGATGACTGTTGAAAGCGCCATGATTCAGGTATGCCAATTAAAAATAATAACGTCAACACTATAATGAACATCAATGCCTTGTTGCTATATTTAAAAAAAAGTTTTTCCTTACGACCTTTAGTAAGGCAATCTGAGTACGAATTTTCCATCGTATCGTATTCGTATCACCCACGAGTATTTTGTATTAAAAAATAAAGTCCCATTTAAGTACATCCGCCTAGGACGCTGAGTTCACATTTCCATAAAATAGAATTTGATGACGATATGAAAACCTAAAACTTGAACTTAGGGCATTCTCGAAAAATATGGTTAAAACTCTTCAGAAAAATACTACTTCATAAATTTATAACCTGTTGCTTTATATTAAATAATGGTAAGTTATCGAAGGAAAAATTCTTAAGAGATAAGGTTTTAACACACACTTCTTAAATAATAAAGGACCTTCTAACAACGTTTGAAACTTTTCTTGAATATATAAAACGGAATTATTGCTTCAGGTAACATTACCATTACCGGTACAGACTATAAAAAGTCCACTGTTGAGCATAGGCACCCCATAGATTGCCTCATAGAGGGGATATTTGCCACAGTTATTAAACTTTGTAGGTTGGCAACATCAGTTTATATTTTCATTTTTTAGTTGTTATTAGGAACTCCTGATTTGTTTCTCTCTGTAGCTTCTTACAACACCCGTGTGACACCATGGGGCAATATATATTTGTATGCCGCCACTACGCGGTCACGTAACATCACATAACTTATTATAAGATAATCAGCATACACACAAAACTGACAAATTTTTTAATTATTTTGTAATATTCGTCGTTTATAAACCTTCTTAACAAAATAAGCACAACGAACAGAACTTGGACGTTAAAAAAGGGAAAATAAACTTTAATACGTTTTTATTGTGATATTCAAAATATAAATTTTACGACTGTACACAAAACAGCAATGTTTATAAATTTTACTGCTACCAGACGCTCTCTTCGTAAAGTATATTTTCCCTCACTTGTACTAAAGTTACATTAAAATGACCTCAGTTCTACAAAAATATGAATTATGTTAAAAAAGTTATCTTCTTATTATCTTCTTATATACTTTTGCTACGTGTAGTGAAAAAATTAAACAGGATAGATCATTCACCTTTCTTTCTTTTTCAAACTATAACAATCATTCTCATACCATGAAGTGATAAGAAAGCTGGTCCAAATGATAGTAAGTGGCTTTCGCGGCCAATATACGCCTGCAACCACCTAAAAGAAAGTAAGATATGTTTTGTTACTTCCGAGGACAACGATGGACATGCTCACAGACACCGCTAATCAGCAGGAATGGTAATAGGGTGGTAAACTAACCCAGACAAATTATCAGTCAGTACAGAAGCTTCAATAATCAAAGGCAGTTTTTTTTAAATAATTGAGGAACCAATTAAGGAACAAAGTTTTCAAAATCGTTAATATTAAACACCTTTATATGAAATCATGGCCGTTTGATTACGGCGTTAAAGAATCCCTCACTCCATTTTTGCTCGTAAGTGCCGTTTGTGGTGACTATGGGAAGTGTCCTAAAACTTATGGCTTCCTAAAGATGGCACTGTGAAGGCAGTGACTTTCAAGACGCGATAAATGCTACTGCAATTGTAAATCCCCCCATCAAGCGACCATTAAGGCAAAACCTCTCTACAATTGGGAAAGCCCTTAACGAGCAGTATTTCTATGCGAGCTGATTATGAGAACGAGGACGATATCTAATTATAGGATCTAGTTTGACTTTTGAAGTAAAACATTTAAAAACAATCAGATTTCTGTTAGGGTTAGAGCAAATACATGGGACTGAGAATAGGCTGCCACTGCATCATTTCGAAAGTATCTGTATTGCGCTCACCTGCTTGCCTGCTCACCGTGGTCAATATCGGCAAATCTTCAAATATTCATATATCAAGTCGTGAATACAAAATGATGATAAGGTTAGTTAGGGTTTACTATAGTTACTATATGTAGTGAATTTGTAGAATTTGTTATTATTATTTAGTTTTAACTGTATGTATTTCAACATGTTTTCTATTCAGACTCGAATGTAAATTTAATATCTATTATTTATACAAAGTGTAATCACATGTTAAACAGGTCGCTACATGGACAGACAAACAAGGTCTTACATTAGTATCACCGAAATATATTCAACTTCATTCACCATCATCCTTGGATCCGAATAAAACATACATCGTTACAACAATACTCCAAGAGCCGTATATGATGCTGAAACCTGTAGAATACGGCCGAAAAGAAGACCAGTTTCAAGGATTCTGCAAAGACCTTTTTGATTTAATTGCCAAAAACCTGAAAATAAAATGTAAGTCTATTATAGGTATATTATTTTTTTTGCAAAATAAACAAACTTACAGACCACCTGATGGTGGCTACTGTAGCCCACGGACACTCAAAGCAAACTTCAAACAAAAGGTTATTGACGCATTGTCATCTCTGAGAACTGAGATGGAATGTGCTCTCTATACCCGACAAAGCAGAACACAGTAGCGCAAGTTCGGCCTCACATGGAATACTGTTCTCATCTCTGGGCCTCGGCACCCCACTGCCAGCTCATGAAGAAGAAGGAAGGAAGGGCTCCAGGCAGCTCCTTGAACGCATCCAGCGCAGAGCGATTTGAATCGTCGACGACCTAGTTCTTTCTGATCGGCTCGATTCACTGGCGTTGCGTAGAGATGTTGCATCCCTTTGCGTTTTCTATCGGTTCCACCATGGGGAGTGTTCTGAGGAATTGATCGGAGAACCAGTTCCAGCTGCCAAATTTCACGACCGCACATCGCGTCAAAATTCACGATACCATCTTCACCATCAGGATGCTTGGAGATCCACCACTGTGCGATTTACTAGGAATTTTCTTCCTCGTACAACCTCCTTATGAAATTGTTTACCATCGGCGGCTTTTCCTTCAATAAAAGATGTTACTCCTTTCTAAAAGGCCATCAACGCACCTGCAATTCCCCTGGTATTGCGGTTATTCATGGGCGGTAGTAGTCACTTACCATCAGGTGAGCCGCACGCTCATTTGCCTCCTATTCTATAAAAAGGAGGACTTCGTGGACTCCTAGCTTGAAAATTAGTTAGTATTGACAGTACTTGTTGTATAGTTTCACTAGGAGTTTTTTTCCGCGTACGATTTCTCTGTGGAATAGTTTACCACCGGCAATTTTTAGGGTCAATACGACTTAGGGACCTTCAAGAAAAAATCTTGCTCCTTTAAGAAAGGCCGGCAATGCATCTATAATTTTCCTGGTGTTGCTGTTGTTCATGGGCGGTTACTTAACATCAGGTGTGCCGTATGCTCGTTTTCCGCCCCTCCTTTAGTATTTGTTATTTACATTTTCTTAATTTAGCATCTCTGTCAACCTTATTTTATACGGCGATAGACGTTGCCGGGAGCACACACTAAAAACCCGATTCGCTGTGTTGACAGACAGATTTTAATACATATTTATTTGTAAATAGCGTGCAATTTGGCATTTTCTAAATAATTTGCATCATGGGAAATTCGGAAACGATTGTAACGTCAAAACACATCTCGTGTTGACATTTATACGTGTGAATTGACATGTGAGTGACGTTTTAGTGGCTACACGGGCTCCGTCCACTCCCCCCGTTCTATTATGTATGTATTATACTATTCTATGAGTATTACCATGTTTTTTTTTTAAATTCAGGATAATTTAATTTAAAGCCCTGTAAATTTACCTGTTTATTATTGATCACCGAAAGTAGGACTTCCACAGGGAAGCACTGGCGAGGAACTCTGAAGTACTCGAAATAAACTAAAATGTATGTCATTTATTTAAAAAAAATATTTTAATTATTTGACAATTACTAAAATTGGACAATAATCGAAAAAAATGTACAGAAAACCCAAATATGGCAAGTGGCAACGCACCTGCAATTCCCCTAGTGTTGTGGTTGATCATGGGCGGCGGTAGTCACTTAAAATCAGATGAGCCGCATGCTCGTTTGCCCCCTCTTCTATAAAAAAGTGTCAAAAGTTGCACAGGATATGAAATATTTAAAAGTACAGCGTATTCAGATTATGACCAACAACTTAATTAAGTGGACATTTCCTAGAAATTATCTCGATATCTCGATATCTCGACTTTAGGACACAGATTGGATGCTATTGGGAATATTGTATTTATAATTGAGATGTCTCCAAATTTTCTGGGCAATTTTCGTAAACGACTTCCCCAACTTTAACCTCATAAAATAAAGTGAGGGCATTTATTAAAATGCAAATGCACAAATGTTTACTCATGTGCGATATGAGTCCTGTCATAAGAATATTTCGTCTTATTTTTTTTTCATTCATCATTTCGTCACCTTTAGCAGCTCATTACTGAACATGAAGATGACTTATTGTAGGAAGAATTCGCCGAAATCATAAGGCTAGGCAAGATGACTGGCAATCGCATTACTCGATATCTAGTACTTCGGAAACTACTCCTGTAGCCGGTTTAGGGACGAAAGTAGTTCTTTTTGGCTTTTCGCGTTTGAATTACATCTAACGACGCACAAGGAACAAAATTTTTGTTACTCTTTTGCGAAACACGTGTCCAACCCCGAAAAGATACAAATGATATATTGTTGGTTGGTTTTGTTGGCTTATACTATTTGGAGATGAAAAGTTTATTAAACGAAATAACTACTCTCCTTTGAAAAGTTTCCTTTTCCCATAAATCTTAAATGTTTTCTTTTCTATGATTACTAAGGCTACACAAACTTTCAATCTGCTTTTAATATGCATTCATAGCTTTTTAAACCTACTGGATAATAAGTAAGTTTGTTTTAAATACTCAGTTTTATAAAATAATTTTAGACGAAATTCGACTGGCGAAAGAAAATAGAATCGGCAGCGGCGAGAATCCTGATGCCTGGTCAGGTTTAGTGAGCGAAATTGTCAAAAAGGTATGTAATTTTTATTTTCATATTCAGAAGTAAGTATTATTACTAGTATTTTAGTGATAGTTGTGATGTTTTCATGATGGATTTTGATCAAAACGATTACTCCACTTAAATGGCCAAAGCTATCAGTGAAAAGTAAAATAATAATAGTAGAGATAAAGAACTTTGTGGAATGTTTCTCTTACATACGAATATGTGCTACGAATGTGTGCGTGCGCAATAAAATCGGTGGAAATAATGCATTACCACGCACTTTGAATTTGAAAAGTAAAAAGTTCAGAATGTTTGAAATAACAGAATGATTTTAATTAATTTTTCTGTTTTTCTATATATAAATATTTAATAAAATATGGAATGTTTATTTACTGTTAAAAGGAGCTCCAGTGCTGCTCGTTACTTAATATATCCCATTAAGCAAAGTAGTCCGTGAAGGAATTTATTTTCAATTTAAGGGCGGCGGCAGTCACTTACCATCAGGTTAGCCGCATGCTCGTTTGCCTCGTCTATGAAAAAGATTGGAAAATAGTTAAAATGTTTTCCTACTAAATATTCAGCGTATTGCTGTTTTGCTAGAGGACGTAACACACGCGCGAGCTCACTGTTTTTGTATGCAAATGTTCACAATGTCCGCTCTATCTTTATTTATAAAAATTACTTGTCACGTTGTTTGTCCGCGCTAAACTCCCAAACTACTGAACTGATTTCAATATAACTTTGGACCCTGTGTGCAAATTGGTTCAACTTGACTATTATGAGAAGTTTTATGCATGATTCAAGGTTGGCTGCTTATTCTTAAGTAGCCAACCTTAGAAAAGTCTCTTTTTACCTTACAGCCAAGATGTGTTTATATTTTATACAACTACCTACCTACCTACTTATACAAAATTGTAAAATCATATGTGAAAATAAATTTAAATAATATTAATTTGCTCTTAATTCATTTAGTACAGGATAATCTTATTTCTTCATCTTTCACTTTGATGATGTATGTAATGATAAAAGGGTTAAAAAATGAACCTAAACAAAAAATATTGCTTACCCCGATTGATATTGTCTCGTCAAAGGTACTTTTTTCCGCCTGCCCTAGAAATATACTATAGATCGATTATGTATATATATATATATATATATATATATATATATATATATATATATATATATATATATATATAAGAATATACAAGAGTTGCTTGTTTAAATATATAGGATTCAAATTTCTTTGATTTTTATACTTGTGGTATCGTAATAACTTCATAACAATTCCTATCAAAAATATTGTCAGTCAAAAACTAAAATCAACCCGTATGATTGTAATCATCCGTTCCATCCACAACTAAATTAAATTTTCCCCGCGCATTTCTTATCTCAAAAACTACTGTCAAAACTTGCCAATTGGTTTACATCAATAGTCACACAATGATCCATAAAGGTGGATAGGTATATATTTTATAAATAGTATGTACAAAAATTTATATGAAGTTTGATGACATTTGTAGGTTAAGTGAGAAACAATCGTGTCATTGAATTAATGGCCTGCTCAGCATAGTTCTTTAAAAAATGTATAGTGCAACTGATCCTCTCAAAGAGTTCCAGACACTATTACTAGGTACGATATATCTAAAAAATGGTAAAACTTAAGTTTACGTAAATTATTTGTATAATAAAGTACGAACCTTTATTAATATAACTAGATAGTATATCTTAACTAAAATCATCGTGTTATGAATTTTGCCATCCCAAGCCTTTTTGAACAGTACTTCAGTTTAAAAATACATACAATACCCTGCGCGTCTCCCACCGATACCGTTTTCTGAAACTCGATATGCATTGTTGTGCTAGCGGTTAATAATACGACATGACGTTGAAAGCATTTTACAATTATTGTGCTAAAGATAACTCGTAACTTTACAGCGCATCTGTAGCTTCCTTTGTTTGAAGTTGTCTGTGTCAACCAGTGGATTGTACCTTGCTCTCAGGTGTAATATCACTTAGCGTCACGGAGACTGTAAGTCCCAGGCTACACAAGGATTTAAGTAATAAAACGATTCCAATGCCAGTGCTTGCCCATTTGAAGCCGGGGCAGGTCACTGGTACATATTACAAAAAAACTAAACGTTACGAATTAAAAATCTCAATTATTACGGAAAAAGTTACAATAATATAAATAATTTACTACGTACAAATCAGATTATTTTTATTTTAAAATTGATTTCGTAGCTAACAAAGCGATCCACTTCTGTTTCGCTGTAAATCTAAACCATCCAGGGACACACTTAAACACACACTGAAGCACACAAAGAATTTCATCAAAATCGTTTGACCCGTTTTCGAGTTTTAGAGCGACTAACGAACGGCAGTCGATTTTTTATAAATGGAGATATATTGGTTCCTGTAACAATTAAAAACAATAATAAGATTAATATGTTCGATTTTTGGGATTTTTTTAAGCTAAGCGTTGTAAGAGTTATATATTGAAATAAGTTTAAATGTGTCAACATATTACCATTTCAGCCTATTAAATTCCCCTGCTGAAAATAGGTAGCTATAGTTTTTACGCTTGGGAGGCAGGTTGGCAACCACAGTTTTTTCCAGCCTGCTGCCTGTTTCCTGGTTTAGCTTCCTTTACAACAACCCCGGGATAATGAGGAGTAGTGAATATTCTTACACTACACAGTAATATGTTTCATGTACTTGTTTAATGATAATTGCACAACAGCTATAATATAAAATTTTATAACTAATACCGATACAGCCTATTAAAGTTCACTGCTGAACATAGGCCTCCTCTTATAGATATAGGGCAGATATTTGCCATAGTTGCCAATCTTGGCAAGCGGGTTGGCAACCGCAGTTTTTTATTTCATCTCTTGATTTATTTCGCTCTGTCGCCTCTTACGACACCCACGTGAAGATATAAGGGAGTGGATATTCTTATGCCGCCACTACACGGTCATGGTACAAATAATAAAATACATAGTAATTGCAGGCTCCTAATGTGTAGGTGGTCTACGTTCAGCAGTGGACTAGTAGTGGGCTGTAGTGACATTGATAGTGATAGTGAATATAACATTTCAATGATAAAAATATGAAATTTGCGTATACATAATATTAGTCACTGCTAACGTGACTTGGTAATTTAAGTATAAGTGCTGTAATGAGCCTGGGATGTAAATTTATCCTTTTCACTCCAAACTAATAATTTACGTGTTAAAATGTTTATGGATATTCAAAATCCATAAAATTTATATAACGATAGGCTATATAAGGATATAACATTGGCACTTAGGATAAGAAATTATTTTCGACTACGTAAATCTAAATTCTATTAACCGCCAAGATGAAGTTTGCCTAAAGGGATTTATTTTCCAGATAAAATATTGCTTTTTATTAAATTTATTATATATAGATCTACATATAGTTCTATATTTTATTCAATACCTATCATTATTAATTTCAAAAAGAATGAGAGAAACTTTGAGTAGTGAGGTAAATCATTTATAATTCCTATTTCAAGTCTTTGTCTTTACGTTTTCCAATATAATATACAAATAGATAAAAACGTCCCCGGATACCGATATCGCGCATTTATCCAAATCTGTGACTCGCAGTCGTATTTTTCGACATGTTTCTTCTTACTTTTCACACTGAATCACGCTCCGATGGGAGCGTATGCGGGTAAAATAGTACCGCTAAACCATGATGGCTTGCCGCTACGCGAGGATAACACATTCTGAGATAGTATCTAAGTTTATTTATTCAACCATTATATCTGTTCCGTTCTTGTTTTGTTGCCTTAATACATTTGTTTTTACACTTATCATGTGAGGAACTTATAAAAACATACTTACTAACACATTTACGAGGCGTAAAGAATATCTTTCGATTGTGGCACTATTTATTTAAAAGTGTGTCATATACTAAATAAATTAAAAGCAATGTGGCAACAAGACGAAAAAAATACGTCTATAAATTCCAGCCGAAAGTTACGTGTAAAACAAAATACATTATTTTAACATCTCTTTCATAATAACGTGAAAGCATTACGCCAGGCAAAAATATAACTGAGAAGGTTAAAAGTAATACGTTACATTTTAATGTTTACAGTTTATTAGATGACTTTTGAATAATGTTATTCAAGTCATCCTTAATTTACTAGTAATTCAAACGTTGATCTGTAAATATATCGATGTTCCTATCGTGTTCTGATTTTAAACTGAATACAATAATATTTGTTGAAACATTTCCTGATCGTATTTTAAAATGTTTCCTTTATGAGAATTTTACAGTACATACGTCTCAACGCTTGAATAGTAATCGCAAATAAGTGGTAATTTACCGCACTAGATATTATTACCGTAGTAGAGCCAGGCAGCAGCTTTTGCTGATTGATTGAGTGATTGTACGTTTTCGATCGCCCCTCTCCCCCACTGATGATTTGGTAACGGTGGTCCAGCAATTTGGATAAGGACTGATGACCCTAGAGAATCCCTTAGTAGACATCCATGCCCAAGTATTTTTTTATATGAGGCTGGACTAACGAGCACGCATCTGACGTGAAAGTAAGTGACTACATCAAGCCTAACCCAACCTTACCGCAAAGCTACCCCATGTTTTCTGATCTAAGATTCTCTGAGTGCCTCACGTATTCTTGGGCGTGTATATTGTGCCTCAGACTAGATCACATACTTTTCTGATGGACCTTCTGATCACCTCTTACCATACCTTCCGGACGCTCTCAGTTTTCCACTGACGTCGCTCTTAGCTCTTCGAAACATTTCCTTGTTACCATTATACATCACCACCATAGATCCGGAGTATGGTGTTTCTGTGTACGTACTCATTGCGAGCGCAATCTGTAGCCAGCCGCCGTGTGTGGCAGGCACCATAAGTCAGCGGGTTTTGGGAGCCTTGGAGATTACATAAATCGAGTTACGTCACTCACTTACTAACCGTTCCGCGGTTTCTTAAAAGGAAAGAACAAACCGGCCTATAAAACGCTTAATATGCTTCGTATGCTCAGTATCAAAACGATTGTGTTGGTTCACCGCTTGTGGCTTAACAAGGCGCAAGTACAACCTCACACAGAACACGCCTTTCAACTCTGGACTGGGGCAAAACAGTACCAGCGCCTTACACCAAACCGCATTCAACGGAATGTTGCGCGAATCGGCTATAACCAAGTTTTTTTCTGGCTGACGTGTTCCACTTACCTAAATTCTTTTGAGATAAAGTCAAAAAAATAAATAATATTTTCTTGACTTTATCTCAAAAGAACAATTGTTATTGTAAATGGAAAATAGGTGGTAGATGAATTAATTAATCGTAAAGTAACAAGAAATAATTATAATTATTTGACACATATTGGTAGAAATGTTCAAGTTTACATATCAAACTTGATATATCTACTAAAATACCGAATTTTAATACAACATAACATAAACACTCACGCCTGTCACCCAAAGGGGTAGGCAGAGACTACAGACTTCCATTTAGCATGATCCTGACATACCTATCTCGCCTCTTCCACATCCATATACCCTGTACTCTTAATTTGGCCCATTTTTAGTATATCGCCAATTTGGTCGACAAACTTTCGCCTAGGACGTTCCTTTCCGACTCTTCCATTCACTTCTGCAACATATATTTGCTTTGTCAGTCTTTCCGCATTCATTATTTCTACATGACCAAACCACCGAAGCATTCCTTTCATAATCCTGGTCACTGCATCATCTTGCAAACTACACTCTTCTTTTATCACACAGTTTACACATTTTAATACAACATATTCTAAAACGTGACAAAAACATAGTATTTATATTCTTTATATGGTGTATAGGTCGTATTCACATGATTCTAATTGCTAAAATTGCACCATATCGTTTTCAAATGATAGAAGATCTAAAAAAGGTTATAAAATTTTCATTTTATTTACATGGTCGAGTCATGGTACAGTTATTTTGGCTACAGTACGTATAGGTCTGCTTAACTGGGGTAAGAGCACGCTACCAAAGAATACCAGCGTGAAACTACAGAATATTGCTGCTATATTACGTGGGTGTAGAGAACCGGGAGCCTTCACAGGTAATGAGGCATTTCGTCTTAGTCCTCAGGTGTGGTAACACGTATGCATTTGGAATCTTCATCTTTTAATCGATTGTAAACGTAGATATTCTATGGGCCACAGTATCCAACAATCAGTTAGACTATGTGCTCGATTGGCAACCTTAATCTATTAATAAATAAAAATAAAATACTTTAAATTCTAAAGAAAAATGATTTAAAACAGTCACATAATCACATTTATTTTTGTCAGGAAGCGGATTTGGCGGTGGCTGCTTTAGCTGTTACATCTGAAAGGGAGCGACTGGTAGACTTTAGTGAACCATTTATTTCTATCGACAATCCGGTTATGTATGCAAGAACACCAAAGCTATTAGCAGATACATTCAGTTTTCTAAGGCCATTATCAAAAGAAATTTGGGTAAGTGAATCTATTTAGTCAGAACTGCCTATTTACGTCCCACAACTTGGAATACGCCTCCCCTCACTTCTGAGTGGCTTTTAGGGCAAGGAAGTGACCATCTCACTACCCCAATGCATGTTGTCGGACTACACATCATGTCTTCGAACTATTTTGCTACTTTTTCAGATATGAAGGTTTCCACACGATGTTTTCCTCCACCGCCGAGTACGTGGTAAATCAGCACTTAATATTTCAAATTCTAATTTCATTGGTGCGGGACAATTCAAGTAAATAAACATTATTAAAAATGTTACGTACATTTCTATTATAGTATTTTAAGATCTATGTGACATAACGTAAATATTCTACATCTGGAAGATAACAAAGTAAATGGCAATAGTGAACAAAAGTTGTCTATTTGATATACATAACAACTAACTTTCTTTGTCGCCCAGAGCGTAATCAAACATTTTGCCGATAAAAGCTTGTTCACAGAAGTCGGCTTGTGGCAGTTATTCGAGTAAAATAAGCAGATATTTGATTTATAGTTTTAATAAACCAAGATACGATATAACAAACAATGAACTTTATCATTTATAATTAACGGATACGTACGTACGAGTATAAATTTTAAAGGAACAAGTTTTAAGACTATAGACAAAAAAATATTCGCGTCAGTTCCGACGTGTAAGCTTACTACAGAAAAACGATTGTCTTAAAATATATACAATAAGCAAAGGAAGTAAAAGAACTAATATATTTATGTAGATTGATTTGATAAAACATATTTCTTAAATTAAATTATATGAAATATATCACTTAAGTACTTATAACATTATTCATTTCACGCTAAGATGCGCGAGTATGTTGCGCTGCGCAGAAGAAAACCATAACAGCTTTACATATTGTTAACACGCGATTTTCCAACCCATCTATTTTTCATACCGTACGCTATACACAAAACGATTCTTAAGGAGTAATTTCCAATAAATTCCAAAATTATATGAGAACTTGGAAAGGTAAAAATCTGTTTAATTTCATACTCTTCATGAGAAGATAAATAGTCGGCTTAAGACGTTATATTCTAACACAAACTGAAAAACCATAACTTTTTTCTATATTCAACATAGTTATAATTAAATTACAAGACAAAAATAAATTATGAGAAAAATATATTTATGAATATATTATAACAAATGTTTTGTTTTCAGTTATGTATTCTCTTCAGTTTCTTCGCCGTGAGCATAGTTCTTTTCTTGGTATCGAGGTTCTCCCCTCACGAATGGCGTTCAATATCAATTTCGGATACACATATTGAACAACCTATAACTAGCACAAACGAGGTAAGAGTTGTGTATAAATATTGATAGCATTTAAGTCTAGTAGTTTATTCAAATAAAATGTTAACTTAGATTTTAAAAGTCATCAAGATCATTACAGCTTTTCACAAGTCCACTGCTGAACAGACCTACCCCAAGAAATCCCACAAAGCATGTTTCTGAATTACCAGCATTCATCGACCTCCTTGACATTTGAGTAGGGAGCCGTGGTAGCTCAGATGGTTAACGCTCGCTGTAAATTTCACAGTGCACGAGCAAACCGGGTTCGTTCCCCGCCGGCACCAATGAAATTGTTAATTGCAAATTTTAAGTGCTGATTTACCACATGTGAAGTTTGCCAACACGCATTGGGGCAGCGTGGCAGAGAATTCCTTGCCCTAAAACCCTCTCAGAAATGAGCGGAGGCCTGTGCCCAATCATCATCATCATTACCGCCCTTCACAAGTCCACTGCTGAACATAGGCCTCCCCCAAGTAATGCCACAAAGCACGGTCCTGAGCCACCTGCATCCATCGACTTCCTGCATGTCTTACCAGGTCGTCACTCCATCTAGTGGGGGGTCGCCCTACACTACGCCTACCGGTACGAGTTTGCCACTCGAGAACCTTTCTTCCCCATCGGTTATCGGTTCTTCGATCTATATGGCCGGCCCATTGCCACTTCAGCTTACTAATCCGTTGGTAAATCCTATGTCGGTCACTCTGGTTTCACTGCGGATATCCTCATTTATGAGTCTATCACGCAGTGAAACTCCGAGCATAGCCCTCTCCATAGGTCGCTGAGCGACCTTAAGCGTCCTCATACGGCCAGCAGTGAAGGACCACGTCTCAGATCCGTAAGTCATCACTGGCAATACGCACTGGTTATACACTTTAGTTTTCAGAGATTGAGGTATACCTGACGAGAAGATGTGTCGTAATTTCCCCCCAGCCGAGTTGAATTCGTCGATTGACCTCTCGGTCGAAGTTGGACTTACCTAGTCGGACTATTTGTCCCAGGTAAACGTACTCGTCAACAACTTCGAGCATAGTGCTCCCAACAACTACCGGCATAGGTGTGACATGGACATTAAACATGATCTTTGTTTTGTCCATGTTCATCTTAAGACCTATCCGTTTGAGACACCATTGAGGTCATTGAGCATAGTGCTAAGGTCCTCCAGCGATTCTGCCATAAGGAATATATCGTTGGCAAATCGAAGATGAGTGATGTACTCGCCATTGATGTTAATACCGTATCCTTTCCAGTCCAGTAGCTTGAAAACGTCTTCCAACGCAGCGGTGAAGAGTTTCGGGGATATAACATCAACCTGTCTTACACCTCTCTGCAGTTGGATAGGTTTCGAACTCTGTACTCGGATAGCCATCGTAGCCCTACTGTACAAACACTTCAGCACTCCGATATACCGACAGTCAACTTGGCACCGCTGGAGGGGCTGTAGCACCTCCCAAATTTCGACGGAATCAAAGGCCTTCTCATAGTCCACATACGCCAGGCAAAGTGGCAGATTGTACTCTTCGGTCTTCTGTACAATCTGCCGCAAGGTATGTATGTGATCTATGGTACTAAAGCCTTTTCGGAAACCGGCTTGTTCGGGAGGCTGGAAGTCGTCGAGTCTGCGTGCGAGACGATTCCCTCAAACCACGAGCTCAGAAGGGAAATCGCTAGTTCTTCAAGAGAGCGTTGTCGCCTTTCTTAAAGAACAAGACCACCGCACTTCTGCTCCACGCCTCCGGAATAGTGCCACCATGGAGGACGGAATTGAAAAGCTTCTGAAGGTTTTCAAGTACCGGTGTTCCAGCCGCTTTCAGAAGCTCCGCTGTAATTCCATCCTCGCCTGGGGTCCTGCTGTTTTTATGGTGCTGGAGAGCCATTCTAATCTCGCTCAGACTGACGTCTGGGATATCATCGGAATAGTGTCGGGTAAGACTTGCTCTTGGATCGTTACTCACACTTGCGTGTGGCTCTAACGATGATGTGTACAGCTGTCCATAGAACCTCTCAATCTCACTCAAAATCTCAGGTGTTTCGGAAAGGATGCTGCCACACTCAGTCTTCAGCTTTGACAGTTGGCTCTTTCTGGCAGACAGATCTCTGGCAAAGACTTTGGAGCCCTGTGCCCAGGAGTGAGACGTATATAGGCTGTAACTTCATGTAGTATGACAGAGGTACATTTGAGATGGCCAGGAGCATATTTGATAACGAACGAAAATAAGCAACCACGACAAAATCTTTTCAATGAGGCAATATATGGATAAGGCTGGGGTTGGCAGGGCTGAACAGGACTGTAATCAATGATCATTAATGACACGGAGTTAAATTATAGCATGTACTGGATTTTGGATGGCTCATTAGGGCTAAGGCCTAATATTGTAGATGATAGTATGTTACATCAATTTTACCATTGTAAAGAACATCAAAATTTTATCTTGATACTAGTTTTAGCCATGAAAAATGACACTAAGTGATACTTTTAGTCAAAATTTTTATACGTGGTAGAGCCATGCTGCAGTTATATTAGAAGTATAGTTTTAGCACGAATGGGTCGGCTTGACTGGGGAAGGACCACGCTCTCACAGAATACCAGCGTGAAATAGTACCTTAATGCTGCTGTGTTTCGTATGATGAGTGTAGGGAACCGGAGACCATTTTTACTGGAAACGAGGTATTCCATCTAAGTCGTCACGGGTGACAACGCATCTGTATTTTGATTCGTAATCGAGGAAATCGTGTCTATGGGCCACAGCAACCATTCACCATCAGGTGGACTGTGTGCTCGTTTGTCACTATCCTATAAAAAATTGTATTTTTCTGCAATATAATTAAACAATAATTACATTCAAACAAAATCCATAGCAGAAGCCAGGTATACATCAAATATTATACGTATAAATATTATATTTAACTATTTGAAATAAATTGCAGTTCTTACGTGTTATGTTCATATGTAAATTCTCTGTATATAGATAATACTACACAACGAATTCAGCATTTGGAATTCATTCTGGTTCTCACTTGGATCGTTTATGCAACAAGGCAGCGACGTGGTACCAAGGTATGCGATAAAATCTATCTGTAACTATACGATTCATAAAATTTATCTAGTGACTACGTTTGAAAAGCGGTACAACAATGTTAGCTGCCGATATTGTTGAAAAGTAATGCGGTCAATATTACCAAGGAGCTGACAGTTAAGCCCTAGATTAAATTCCGTGTCTTGTTAAATTTTGCATGTTAGAAATAAAGGATATTTTATTGTGTGCGTAAAAGAAAATACGGGCTGGGAATAAGGCGTAGAAAACGTTTATTTACTATACAGTAAATAAAGTCCATTGATTTACCAATTTTTAATTTCTTTTCACCACACTGTGTTAATCATTTTAGTAACTTTTTGTGAATTTGTTTTAAGATCACTATCAGGAAGAATAGTTGGCACAGTTTGGTGGTTCTTCGCTCTCATCCTAGTATGTTCATACACTGCTAATCTCGCTGCTTACCTCATAGTGGAACGCATAGCGGAGCCAGCCCACTCCCTTCAACATTCACCGCGATTCCATACCGAAGTAAGCGACACATGCCATTTTAAACTATAAAGGTAACGAAATAACAATGATGATTTAGTGACGCGCCACTGCCACAGCGAACTACTTAAAGTTTATGCTGCGACAACACGGTCTTGCGACCCTTGTTTAAGTTAACCGTTTTTTTTTTGTAGGATCCTGCTACATCAATCTACAATTTATTGAATGATCCTGAATTAGTACCTAAGGATGCTTCCCTGAAAAATCAGTTTACAAGTGATAAAAATAATCAAGGCTGCAATACGATATCACGCGTTTGCAGATATAGGCATATTAATTTTGCTATTGCCATGACTAAAGGATCGCCTTTGAGGTAACCTTTCTAATTTAAAATTACTACTTACTACTACTAAATAAACTATGTTAAGCAAAAAGTCACATTTAGGTTGGTAGTTGTTGAGAGCACTACTCTCAAATTTGTTCACGATTGTGTTCATCCAAGAAAAGTCCAATTTCGTTCAAGAAGTCATTCAATGGATTCAACTCAGTAAGCCGGCGTTCGGGAAATTACGATACATCTCGTAAGGTTTATCTTAAAACTTGAAAACAAAAGTATGCAACTAATGCGTGTTGCCAGTGATGACATATATGGATATGAGACGTGGTCCTTCATTGCTGGCTGTTTGAGGAAGCTCATGGTCGCATAGTGAGAGTGTATCTTCATCACATACTTCGAAATAAGGATATCCAAAAGAGTAATCGGCATATCCCCACATTCAGTAAGCTAAAGTGACAATGGGCCGTCCAAAGAACTCGAAAAACCGACAACCGATGGTGAAGAAAGGTTCTATACTGGCAACCTCGGACTGCTAAGCGAAGTGTAAGGCGACAACCCACTGTACGGGGTACCTGATGACTTGGTAAAGGATGCAGGAAGACGATATACGCAGGTGACTTGAAAACACTTATGACCGGGATTGTGGTATCATAAGGGCTATAATGATGATGATGATAGTTAAATAGTTACCAAAATTATGATAATCAATACGCGCATCTCACAAGGTGGTTTCCTGTAATAAATTCTAGTGGACATGTATTTTAGATGATTTGATTGTGTAAAGGATACAACGATATATTAAGTAAATAAATAATTTTATTTTAATAACATAATAATATATTAATACAGATTCTTCCAAACTTGTATCAGTAGTTCACCATTTTGAATTAAATGATAATTTTTTAATTTCATTGTTGTGCTTAAAACATACCATTTCAATAATCTCTATTGATCAATTGCCATCGTTATATCGGACTGAATGAAAGAAACCGATAACTGCCGACATTTTTATTCGCCTAGCCATGATGGATGTAATTCTATTAGTTTCAATCTACTTCAGACGAATCATAATGAAAAAAAACCAACAGCAAAAAACCACCTCTCTGTTCTGTAAGCGACTTCTTTGAAACGAAAGTAGTTTGATTTAATGATTGTTGCCTAATATTACTGAATATGAACTTAAAAGTTGTAAGATTGAGTTAGGCATTCAATTAAATTTATCTTTGTGAAAGTGGTTAAAAATAATTTTTTATTGTTAATAGTATAATTGTTAGTATTTTTTTAATTAAAATAATATCATCACTGCCAAGATCTAAATACATATTTAAAGTTTTGAACATTGACAAACCCAGTATATTTGTCGGTTATTGTCTTATTCAAAATTAAACTTATCCAGTTGTACATGTCCCACTCGTATACTGTTTGGTAACTGCCTTTGTAGCTGTAACGTGACTTTGGTGTACGATATCCGGCAGTAAATATCACACATTAAGCTTTACAATGAGATAATCGACTAGTTACGGCTTTACAGAGTTTCATTTATATTAAGAGCTGTTACTTTTTTTTATCGAATATAAGAATAAAAAAATGATTACAACATATTTTTAAATATTAAAGGTTTTCCCCTTTTATATTAACATAATTAATAATATTAGATATCATCGTATAATTTTAAATTGGTTTTAAGGACTCGGTATGTTAATAATTGAAGTAGATGCACATACTCTTTGATCTTTATTACGTGCCTGCACGGCCTGTATCCCAGCAATTATAGAAGACGCCCTAAAAACCGTGTTTAACCGATTATCTTTTTATAAAGCTCGATATGTAAAATTTAGTACCTCGTTTTTTAAATATAACTTAAGTGTTTTATCTTACATTTTTTACTATTCAATAAATCGGTTACCTTTGTTCTGCCTCGCCCTCTCCAGACTTATTTAAATAGTTTAGATTATTATTATAAGGTAATTAGCAATGAGCACATCTTTGTTCCGTTGTGTATTCAAGTATGCACAAAGTAGCATCCATCGACTTCTTTTTTTAAAGAATAAGGGTGTCAATAGAACACACAGTCCACCAGATTGTAAGTGTATGCTGTGGCCAATAGACATTCACATTTATCCTCGATTAAGAATCAAAACGCAAATACCCATTCCACCATGGCCGGGGGCCCGACCCCCGACGCCCGGGGCGTCTCCCGCGGCGGCGTGCGTTGTCACCCCTGAGGACTAAGAATGGAATGCCTCGTTTCCAGTAGAATAGGGTCCTCGGATCTCACACTCATCGTACGAAAGAGCAGATTGACCTCTTTCCAGTAGAATAGGGTCCTCGGATCTCTACACTCATCGTACGAAACAGAGCAGTATTAAGCTGTTATTTTACGCTGGTATTCTGTGAGAGGGTCCTTCCCCGGTCGAGCCGACCCATTCGTGCCCACCATAATATAGCTTCAGCACGGCTCTACCAAGTAAAAAATTAACTTCCTTTTATAACCGTACAGATTTAAACACATTAGTGAATGTCAGATTCAGAATGACTGTGGTTCTCTCTACTTGGAAAGTCGGGAGTATGAAATAAGTTGATATAGGTGACAAAATCCGTAAAAACTAGTTTCATTGAAAATCGTTGGAGTTTATTTGTTTTATTTACGATTCCAAAGCAAAATTCCATTGATTATATAATCAAAGCAATATTCTGATTCATTCGAGTATCATATTCAAAATGCTAGATTATTTTAATATTAGTGTATAATTTATTTAAATATTAGGGAAAGGAAGTAAGTTTGTTTGCATGTCCATTGGCGTCCTATCTTTTAACATCTAGCAGTGGCTACCTAGTTTCTGTTTAAACCGGTCTGTCTTGATTTGACGTAACGGCCCCGCTTCATATTTGTGCGTATTCGGCAATTGCGAACACACACGACTGTGTAGGTGTGCCCTATATTTGTGTATATTTGGCAAGATTTCAAAAGTAGTCAGTTTTTCGGGCTTACATCGAAGTAATGCAAGTAGCTATAAGCACATGAGTAAAGAAACCGGTTATAAGTGCGCGTATCCATACTGATGTCAATCACCTACACATATATCAAAAGGTTTTTTTTTTTGACAATGTATAGCCGCTGATGAAATTGAATGGATTTAATCGATGAAATTATTCATAGAATTGTACTTAAAGTAGGGATAATTCGGAATCTTAAAGATGTAAAAATGAAGGTAATACAAACAAATTTAAAACTAAACAAAAAATCTGTACAGAATCAGTCGTCTGATAGTAACTAATTGCAACACTGAGTAATTAATAAAACCGTTATTCCATGTCATCAACTTCATCTTTAGTGTATACCGAAGTCCACTGCTAAAGATAGTCCTCCCCATAAAATTTCTGCCACACTTTTTTAGCCGGTAGTTGGATTAGCAACCATAGTTCTTTTTTATTTATTTTGTGAAAAGTTCGGTAGAAACGACAATCGGGATTAATACCTTCGTCGATCACAGAGTTGAGATCTGAACGCGCTTCAAGTTCCGTAACATTTGCTTAAATCGTAGTCTTGAGTTTACACTTTACTCCTTTGCTATTTTAATTTAAGCTATAATAAATAAGTTTCAAGTATATTAAGTACTGTAGTTGAACCTAACCGCACTAATAACATTGTCAATACTCGTCGACAGCGACTATAGATAATAATATGTAGTTTTCACATTTTATTCTTTTTACACGCCAAACTCAAGGCCTCTAAATTACCCAGAAGTGGCTTAGATTTTTGATGTGTGAGACAGTGAATCAGTCTAATTAATAGTAAGTCAGTGAAATTAATAGTAAAAACCATTTTTAAAAACAAACTTTTAATCGAATGTTCTTCAGGAGAAAATAAATTTTAACATTTTGACATTTGTACATAAACATTCAACAATTTCTGCCATTTTTATTGTTTCAACACCGCCAAAATTTCTCACCGTCTAAATTCTTAAGGCGTAGGTCGATATTTAGTCAAGACACGACCGGGCTAAGTCTTACCTTTTAGCCGTACAGTATACACCATCTCCTCGGAGAGGTGAAGGCGGACGTCATTTCATTCGTATTCTTTTCAGCGAACCATTTCATTTGATATCTATATGTATATATCATGGATATCATGGAGTTGTATAAAAATAACAAAATTCGCAATCATTGAGTGTGTTAATATTGGATAGAGTGACGTCATTTAATTTTCGATCTTTCCTCAGCAAACCCTTTCATTTGATACCAATACAAACGATATTAAAAAAAAACTAGTCCTCTATTTTGGGTGGTCCAATCTTGGATGGTTAGCCATATTGGATTGAGAATGACATCACTTAGCTAACCATGCATTGTAATCCAAACTAAACATGTATGTAATATTTTAGCTCAATCGGATGAGGATAACTGCTTTAAAATTTAGTTGCAAGATTTGACCCTAACAAACATACATACCTTGCAAGTTAAAATAAAGATTTTCAATGGAGCATTTATCAAAATTTAATAACTCGAAGAATATTTTTTTATTCAATAATATACTTTAGTCATGAAATTTGGTAGGTCTATTAATTTTTATGTGATGGGGGAAACACTGCCGATGCAATATTGCTATTATTTTCCAAACTTGCCTTACACACTGTTGTGTGTCTAGATCGTAAATAGGGTAAATCGATTGTCTTCAATTAATTTCCAAAAGCGCCGTATAACGTACTATCTCTCGATAATTTATAGTCATAAATGTCATATGTTTATTATTATTTTAAATGCGTGTATTTTATATTAATAAAGATAAAAAAATACGTTAGATATCTAAGAATATCAAATACATTAATGAACTTAATAACGGTCTCCAAAATATTTAGTTTATTTAGTCACTTATTTATTTATTCCATCAGTATATCAGCCACCTTATGCATAATTATTTATTAATATGATTTTTTTTTGGATATTTGTTTGATTGGTTGCTAATAAACCTTTCGATTATTCTTTTTAAATACTAAAGTATAGATAAAGGGCGACCATTTTTATAATCAGCATTGTTTTCTGTCATCATAGTCCGAATTGCTTCTATATTAAATTAAATATGCACGTATTCCAATATTTAAACAAAATTAATTTGGTCAGTTATTGATAAATATTAATAGATTAGCTGATAGATTAGCGGATAGCTAGATATTATGACACGAGTTTGATGTCTAACTTATTGTTACTTAATGATCGAATAATCTTATACATTTCGTAGTCACGTCCTTTCTCTAATCTCATTGTACGATCAGAAAAAAATTAGTAAGAAGACGGATCTAGAGTAGAAACATCACAAAATACATAGAGATATTTTAAACAGCCTTACGGAATTTATTATTAAAATTATTTGAAACGGTCAAGGTAAAGCTATCCATTTATAATGATTTTATATTATTTCATCAATGATTTTAATGATTTTTCCAGTTAATTTTGTAGTTCCACACCACAATTTTCGAGCATTTAAATATTTACGCATTTGCGTAATGTGTAAATTGCGAAATAAAAACTATTAATGTATAAAAACTATTAATTACAGGCACCTTTAACAAATCAAGTAATTTTATAGTTAGTAATTATTTTTGGTCGCTTATTACTGGTGGCTTCATAAAGGATAAGTTGCAGTAATAAATATAAGGTCGTGGTAAAAGTTTCTTTGTATTTTATATACAAATTCAATACATTTTGTTATGTTTAATTACATTTCATTTAAATATATATGTGCTATTTTGTTCGACAACTTAATAATATCTTATCCAATATTTCTCGGGAAATCATCGCCGAGTACAGGGACAAACTTGTCTCTGAAGACGAGTCTTCGCTTAACAAAGTCTCGGATTGGGGGCGACTAAATCTAGTTCAATTCAATCCCCAGAAGACACAAGTTTGCGCGTTAACCGCTAAAATGAACCCCTTTTGTCGTATCTCCTCAGTGTGAAAGCTCTACCCATGCTGCCTTAGCTATCATCGGAATCCTCGGCGTCGATATATTGAATAGTGTGCAGTTTCGTGGTCATTTGGGTGGAAAGGCCAAACTGGCCTCTAACAGGTTTATCGTGCTCATCAGATCGAGAGAGTATTTCATGCCGGCACATCGCTTGCAACTTTACAATGCGGAGGTTCGGCCTCACATGGAATATTGTTCTCATCTCTGGGCCGGGGCACTGCAGTGCCAGCTCCTTCCACTAGACCGCATCCAGCGTAGAGTGATTCGAATCGTCGACGACCGAGTTCTTTCTGATCGGCTCGATTCACTGGCGCTGCGTAGGGATGTTGCATCTCTTTGCGTTTTCTATCATATCTACCATGGGGAGTATTTTATGGAATTTTTCGGATTAGTTCCAGCCGTCAAATTTCGCCAATACACATCGCGTCCAAATTCACGATACCATCCTCACCATCTGGATTCTTGGCAGTTCACCACTGTGCGTTTTACTAGGAGTTTTTTTTCCGCATACGACCTCTCTGTGGAATTATTTACCACCAGCGATTTTTCCAGACCGGTACCACCTGGGGACTTTCAAGAAAAGAGCTTACTTCTTTCTAAAGGGCCGGCAACGCACCTGCAATTGTCTTGGTGTTGCGGTTGTTCATGAACGGCGGTAGTCACTTACCATCAGGTGAGCCGCATGCTCGTTTGTCACCTCTTCTATAAAAAAACGCGACAAGTAATTTTGACAGTCCTCTTTTGATGTTAACCTAACACTACACAAAGGATTCTTAAGAGACCGATATGTATAGGTGAAAATCTGAGGCAACAAAGTTAGGACTAAATGGTGGACGCATTAACACTTCCCAACCAAGCTTTCTCAATTTTTTCTGAGTGGGCAAAAATGTGTGTGGTCTGATTTCATCATGATGAAAACCTACTCCATTTCTATTGATCACTTTCCGCTATTTTTTCTCAATTTCTTGCTTGAGTCTCATTAGTTGTTGTCAGTAGAGCTCTGAATGGATGGATTTGACCAGCGGTAAAAGCTCGTAATAAACGATGCCCTTCTAATCCCACCATACACACAGCATTACCTTAAAGCGTGTTAATATGGTTTCGCTACAGTCTTTTGAGCTTGACTACCCTTTTACCATGACCTTTTTTGGACCTTTCTGTCTTTTAATTTTCATCACTATTGATCAATCTTATCAAAAATGGTTCGTTGTCATTACGTTCCAATAGAGAATCAAAATGAGTACACGATTCATTAGGTTTCTTTCAGTGCGTTTTTACGCGGCTTGAGCCGCATTTTCCCTTTTTTGTATTAAAACTTCAGAATGTATCGATATGTAATTGAAAAATGGCGGGAAAATGTTTTTCACTTTTTATTCTTTTCCTTAATGTATTATGTGTATGTATTGATATTGAAACCAGCCAGAGACAAATATGACCAAAGAGATTTATCTTCAATTTTATACAAACAAAATACGAAGAAACTTTTCCCCCCACCTATTATATAAATAGTGTATTGTAACGTCACTTACTCTAAAGATTTTGTTATAAATTTTGAATTATGGAATATTATTGAAAAAATATCTGGTATCAGACAATAAGGCATAAGAACAATAGCGCCATGACGTATATCATGAATCGAAAACCAAATTACAAACTCCAGCGTAAATTTCCACTACACCGAAGAGTACCACTATCTAGCTGAAATCTCGCCCCTATACGATAATTCCCTGTTGAATACTGAATAGCCGTAAATTTACACGGGGCCCGTCAGTATGGAAGTGGGTACTCTTCGCATTTCGAATTTATACCACCCCATTTTATGGTACACGAATTGTGGACGTGATTTTTAGCAAGTTAAAAATTTGCATTTTATTTTGCATGAATGTCGTTTTATGATACGAGAATTGTGACGCTGACGAGGGGAATTCGCGAAGTGAAATGGAATTCATACGTCTTTGTCGGTTTCTGAGTTGAGATTTATGTGCACGTGTTTTATTAGCAACTCTTCCTAATGTTTTTTGCTCTATACACAACAACGCGTTTGAATTCACTTTTTATTTTAAGAAAACAGTTAAAAACTCTTTAAACTTCTTTTATTTAACACAACAAATGCATAGAATGAATTTCGTCATTACTTTTTATGTTTTTACAGAGAGGGTATTAACATTGCAATTGTGAATTTGAAGAAAGAAGGCGTTATATCGCAACTGTGGCAAAAATGGATTTCTATTAACAATAAACCCGACTGCGAAATGATAAAAGATGAGGTTGGTTGAATATTTTAATTGGTATCCGTAGTTTTAAATGTAACAAAAATTTTATTTATACATGAAATATTTAGTTTAGGAATAAGGAAACAGACTGCGAAAAGCAACATAGTAAGTTTAATTTCGTATTCGACTACTGCTGTAATGCATATTAACATAAGCACTTAGGCTTAATTGAAGTGGTTGTGGGAATTACCTACTAGTAATTTTAAAGCACTGTTATTCTAATCTCATATACATTATCCAGTATCCAGATATTTTTCAACCCTGTATAATATTACACTGCTGTACCACTGCAAAATATAACGAATTATCTTAACTGGATGGTCAAAATATATTTTATATAATAAATTTATATTTTATATATAGATATTTATTATATAATGTATTTTATTATATAATATGATAATTATTATAAGAGACTACGATTTAGTAGGATCACTGTAAGAATATATTACTTCGGTGAAAAAATAGTAAAATAATTTGAATAAAAATTAATTCGTTTTAACGTAACTACGTTAAAACGAACGTAAAATAGTGAATTTTATTTGTATTAAATGGCAGTGTCGTTTTAAGAATTTCCGGGGAAAATATGTCGCGTAGTCTAGTTTTCCTTGCCTTAATGTTTTTAAACAATAACTTCTTCGAATATCTTCGCATACTTTACGTAACCAGTAGCTATAGCAAGCTACGTTTACAACCGTATTTCTTTCGTTGGTGTTGGCTAGAAGTATTCTCTTAACAGTTCTAATATATATTATAGATATTATAGTCATTTGTAATAATCGATTGAATAAATGTTTTGTATTAAAAGAAACCGCGTAGTGGCTTTTTAAGAATATTAACTTCCCCATATCGTCCCGAGAGTACCGTAAAAAACAGAAACGGGAGATGGGCAGCAACATCTTCTTGATAATGACTTAAAGTAATAAAAACACTGAGGTCGCCAACCATACTGCCAAGCGTTGTAATTATGCAAGGATCTCTCCTTTGAGGCAACCTATGGGGAAGGCTTATGTTTAATAATGAACTATTTAACAAGAGACTGTAATTGTTGAAAAAAATGGAACTAATCTCAGTTGTTGTACTACACTTATATTTTAATACTAATCGAACGCACCGATTTACTCGTGAATCACAATATAATTACAGTAGTTTTTCTTCAATTCTTTAATCCCATCGCAGTAACAGATTATGGTTTTTTTTTTCAGGAGACTACTATTACAGAAATGACCCTAAGTCAAGTAGCAGGAATATTCTATGTACTTGTTGCCGGATTAGTCCTTGCCTTGACGGTTGCGTTATTCGAATTCTGCCAACATGGTCGCGCAGAAGCGGCAAGAGCGAATGTGCCTCTGCGCGCTGCTCTCAGAGCCAAGGCAAAATTTGCATCTCGTTCAGAGCATAAAACACCTCCTCAACGTACACCTCAACGTGATCTTGACCGTCTTGGATGGAATGGAACTGCTTTTGCTGGGGTTGGTATAATTCAAATTAAATAAAAATGTAACCAAGTAAGGTTAGAAGGTAAAATAACATTTATATAAAAATGTTTCTACTGGTTTTTGGCTTAGACTAAGTTATGATGCTCCCCGTGCCTGTGATGCTGCATTATTCACACGAGCTTGGTTCAACATAATTTAGAATATAAAATATAATACATAGAAGTATACGGCTTTGATATTATAAATATTCGTGTAAATGTTTATATGTCAACGATTTAACTTGACTAACCGTTTTATATAATGGCCATTTCTTCCGTGAGCTCACCGTAAAAACAGTTAAGCATCACTTTTGTACCACAAGCGTTATTGAGGCTACTAAGTATGACTGCGCGTTGTTTGCGAATTGTGCTTATTCTTAAGGATCTATTATGTTTTCTTTTAACCCCTCAGTCCCCTTAAAATTCTCATGCAGTGACCGCACCCACCCGCAGCACTTAAAACCATTAAAACTTATATTTGGGGACTACTTTTCAATGAAGAAGTTTAGTATTATAAAATCTATACAAAATTCTCTATATCAAAGTTAGATTTTAGTTAATTACCAAAAGATTATTGTAGTTTGGTAACAAAAACAAAACATACCAAGCGAATGTCGGCAGCGTGAAAATCACAATTATTTCAATATATTACTATACTATACTCGAAATTATTTACGTAAAAAGATAAATTATATACACACAAAAATTTTCATTACACTTTTATAATAAAACACTAGAAAAATCCAAAAATCAACACAATAACATTCACGCGAAAATGGTGTACCTACGAAATGAACGTAGATTATAAATAAATATCCATAGCATAACTATTTTTATTTCACTATAGGATAGAAAATTTTATATTGATTCTATAGTGTCAAACTTCTTCATAGAATAGTAGTCTCTAAATATAAGTTTTAATGGTTTAAAGTGCTATGGGTGTCCGATTCAGTCAGTCGAATTCGAACGCTTGAATTTTGACGGAATAGCGCCGCGGTCTAATTCGACTGGTTGAAGGGTTAAAATAACAACTTATGCAAGCTTATTGTAAAAATTAAAAACAACTTAATAAAAAAAAATAAAAAAAATCTATCTTCGATCGTATCTTGTCTATCCTCACTCATATTTTGACGATCGTACAGGGAATAGGCGACAAAAGCGGTTTTCTTTGTTTAGACAAAATTGAGGTATCAAAAATAGTAAAATTCTAAGAGGTGAATATCAGCGCAATACCTAAAGAGTCGTTAATACGACACCTCTTCAGTCGTTTAGTTGAATTTTTACATTTACTGGAAGGATAGCAAAGCTAAAAGCACTTTATATGTGTATGCATTCTTTTACGAGAAGTCAAGAAATTTTTATAGTTTTGCGACGAATTTCGTAATACTAGTGCTCTTGGTTTCACTTGCGATAATAATTGCTATAATTGAAAAATACGTTTTGCACTTAAAAATTTCACAAAATTTCACATCATCGAAATTATAACACCTAAAATAATACTGTATTCTACAACAAATCGTGGTTACGGCGTTTCATTTTAGCGGAGACTAGCCATCTGCATTGGAGAATGTGCACGCAAGCACTGGTGCATTCTCCAACTCTCTATTCCCTCACTCTCATAGTCCTATGGGATGAAAATTCGACACAACGGACAACGCCTTCACGTACTTTTCATTGCATAAAGGTGAAATAACGCCATTTTCCTAACTTTGGACTGCTACTGAGAATTTCATGACAGAAAACCCTAAGGTTTAGCACGCACTGCGATTATACGCGAGTGGTTTAGGAATAGCCGAAAACGCAAAACCGCATACTGTACCGTAACTGGAATTTTGCTTAATTTTACTTCAGTACCGCCATGACTTTCAGGTGAGTAGCACGTGTCGTGGCTTTAGTTTGTAAATTAAAAAATAGAAAACTTAAACAACGGCGCTGCCATAAGTACTGGGTACATCCACTAACAGACCAAAGACATCTGAAAGGATACTTTTGCAAAATGTACAACGACGTGCGACAACATCCCGATAAGTTTTTCAATTACTACAGAATGTCGATTGGTACTTTTGATAAATTATTGCAAGCTGTGGGCCAGTATCTATGACATGAAGACACTGCATTTCGTATAGCGATATCAAGACCGAATGCAAAACCGAACGCGGATAACCGCTGTGCGTGCGCCGCCATACTGTTAGGTTTAGCACGCACTGCGATTAAACGCACGCGTTGAACCGCACGTCTGAAAGCGCAAAAAATTTAACCTAAGTAATATATAAGTCAATGAACCTATGGTTTTCTATACAAGCGCACGCATTAGCGACTTTTTTAAGTGACTGATTTTAAAAACGTAACTTACTACATTTCGATCGCGGTTTGTAAAAGCGCGATTTATATGTCCCATAGAAATAGTATGATGGCGCTCGCACTGCGGTTAACCGCATTTGGTTTCGACTATACGAGCGAAGAGAACAGTCGTTTTTTGCGGTACTAATTAGTAGCAAAAGTATCCTTTCAGATGTGTTTTATCTATTAGTGGATGTACCCAGTACTTATAGCAGCGCCGTTGTTTACATTTTCAATTTTTTACTTTAAAAGCCAAAGCAACACACCCTACTTGCTTGAAATCCGTGGTGGTACTGAAATAAAATTAAGCAAAACTCCAGCCGCAGTGCGTTATGGTATGCGGTTTAGCGTTGTCAGCTATTCCTAAACCGCTCGCGTTTAATCGCAGTGCATGCGAAGCCTTACTATACACATAAAAATCGCGCGTTTACAAACCGTGTTTGAAATGTAGAAAATTACGTTTTTAAAATCAGTCACTGAAAAAATTCGCTAATGCGTGCGCTTGTATAGAAAGCTATGTGTAACATTTTTAGCGGTTTCAGATAAATGCAGTTAAACGCGTGTGTTTAATCGCAGTGCATGCTAAACCTAACAACTGATTTTTCGTTTGACCCAAAAAGCCCTCAACTACATGACCAGTAGTTGCGCTTTTTATCACTTGACTAATGAGGCAGTCAAAAAGTTATCACAGTAAAAATTTACTGTCTTTATACGTCCCACACCAGATGTGGAGAATGTGCACAAGCTCCCTTTCATTTCTGAGAGAATAACGGAGTAATTTTGTCTGCCACGCTGTGTTTTGGCGGACTTCGCATGATGAGAAATATTTTATTTCTAAGATTTTTTTCCCTACGCTGTTTCCTTTACCGCTGAACTCGTAGTAAATCAGCACTTCAAAATATAAATAACTTCAATGCTGCTGGCGGGGATCGAACTTAGGTTACTTGTGTACTGTAAAATTAACAGCGATCGTTTAGCGTCTGAAATATTAAATAAAATAATATTTTAAAGTACAAAATAATATTATTTGTATGATATTTCCTACCAGGCTCAAAATAAAAACCTAGAAAACGTAAATAGTTTTATTAATAAGCCAAATCTCAGGAAATTCAAGAGTTAGATATATCATTTTATGTTATTCATTACAATCCAAATTTATGCAAATAGCATAATACATTTAGCGCATGCTTAAGATTCTTGCAGATAAGAGGGATATGAAGTTAGAGGTTTCATGTAAGTAGAGTCCCCTTTCCAACTCGGGTTCTTGCGGGTTTGTTCCACATTCTTCTGATGCACCATCAAGTAAACTGTTAGCTCGTTAATCAATCTAAGTCTATACACTTATATAAAATTTAAATGTCTGTAGTATTGAAATACTTGATTTCCATTAAGTTCAGGGGTTATCTTTATGCCTTTAAAACTTAAATAAATGACAATCCGTGTGTCTGTCCGTCCGTCCACGCTAATCTTCAGAATAGCTGAACCGATGAAATTTTACGAACAGATGGATAACAATACCAGGTGTTTGGTCTGGGCCATATTTGGTTAGAAAAATTTGAAGACCGTTTTAAATAAAAGAAGAAAAATCCTTCACACTGCTCATGTTTAGGGTGATAGGAAACATTTTTTAATTAATATTTTTTCATTTGGAATTTTTCTTCGAATTCCTAATGACGGTTTACATCACAGATGATTACGTGGAAACCAACGCTTAATATGGAGCACCTTACAACAGTTTCATTGTTGCACATAATAGTGATTGAAAGCGTTTTATCTTCATTAAATAAATTATGTGAAGGTTGATTTGATATAATTTAATACTGGAAGAAAAAAATCGCATGATTACTTATATATATTATATAATAATATATTAAATTAATAGTGTGCCTTTACTCATATATATAATTATGGTATTTTCATCACAGTTTTTGTCTTTACTATCTAAAAATATATTTCAATCATAGTTCTTTTTTATTTAGTATACTGACTTCCTCCTTGGAAGAGAAATGACGGGGAATGTACATCGGAGGATTTATTAAAGATTGCTTCTAAGTTGTAAGTTTATAATCAATCAAGCATCGTGTGTCTAACCCTTTTTATGTACTTCGTGGTGTTTACACATTTAATGCACAACACTAATATTATCCTATTTAAGTATTTTTGCTTTTGTGGTATGTATTATAACTAAGTGATCTGATCACCTGGCTTGTGCTCTGGACTCAGCGAAGATACCAAAAAAAAAACACATTGTTGGCTTTGATTCTGGTTGTGTTTTGATCGTCCCTTTGTCTCTAACATTGCATAAGTGCTAAACCAGGAATGGAACAGAAAGACATCATCATCTACTCAATTAAACATGTTTAAATTGCTTTATAACCTGTATATAGCAAGCAGCTACTCAGTTAATAGTATATCCAGTGCAATGTAAGACTATGTTCTTGTTTTTATTTCTTAGTCTCCCCGTTCTGTAACATCCAATATTACCTTATAATTTTTATAACTATTGCATTATTTATAATTTTTTATATTTACAATGAAAATATTGATTATATTTTCAGTATTTTGCGGCTGGCACCCAGATTTCTCAAGATGACACTGTACATGCCAGCTTTACTCATGTCTGATCCACGGAAAAGGGTGGCGTGAGCATACGTCGCTCATCTGTCACGAAAATTCCGAGCAACACTGTTGATTTATATCAGTTGTAAGCATTCGAACTTTATTTTGTAATTTGGTGAAATATTAAATTACATTTTTCTTTACGTCCTGATCTAAAGGCTTACTCTTTTATTATGAATTATGAAGTGTCAAAGATATTTCTCTGACTATTATTTATATTTCAACAATTCTCGTTAAACTACTCTTCTTCTAGTTCTTTGAAGAAAATTATTGTTTGTCGCTCAAAGAAATTATTTAAGAGTATTCATTTTTTTACATATAGTAGTAATTTTTTTCTTCGATATTCAAGTTAATAATGTAATTTTAATAATATTCTCTAAGGCACTTTTTGTATGCTTTTAAGCTATAACTAACTATTTACTACGTATTTATAACCTTTTAAGTTTATTTCGTGTTCCTAAGTGGAATTTCAAATTACATTCATGTATTTACATATTTTATAGTTTATGATGTGAGTATAACCACAAAAGTAAGTGGTCTTCCCAATAATACGCTTTTTAAACTTTAAAGCAATAGATTTCGAAGTAAGAAAGTTGTATAGAAATATTTTGTTTACTTATTATGTATAAAGAAGTAACGCCAAGTTAAAACAAATTGCTCAAAGGATATACAAATATATTGTCGTGAAGTGTTAAAACTTCATTTAATTGGTTTAATGAACAACTGCTGTAGTTTATGTGTAAATAATACATAAATGGAGCACAGTTTATAAAACAATAATTAAAATTTGAATTCGAAATAATGCCTTTAACAATATTGCTCACTCCTATAATAAAAATGGGTACATTGGATAACACGCAATTTTCTTAAAGAATGGACTATATTTAAAATTTAGTATTAATTTTGTAATAGTTTAAAAAATTTATTTAGACGGAAAAACATATTATTTACACAAAAGCTAATCTGTTGTTAGCTTCACACTTTAAAATAAGCTAGCCTTTTGATTAAACAGTCACGAAAATAGCTAATAATCATGTATTCAAAATATTGATAGTAATTACAAATAGATGTAAAGGTAGCGCTTCAGACATAATTTTAATTGATAAAATTTAAATAGGGGCAATATTTAATGATTATGATATAATATTCTTATATATAGTGCAAACATGTTGTGTTCAAAAAAGCTAAATTATTAAGCAGATTATGGTCATAAATTTCATTTTTATTTATACAACAATGTATAATATATTTCTTATAATATTGCTTGTTAAATATAGTTTATTTCTCACAATATATTCACTTGTAAGAATAATATTAATTATTATAAATTAAATGCGATGAAATAATATTTAGTAATAGTAATAATTAAGATGGCGTTTTTACATTTTTACCAAGGATAGCAACTGTTCGCGCACAATAAGAATTGGATCACATTAGCTTATGAGTTAATTCTTCATTTTAACCCATTTTTATAGCAATTGAATTCTACATCGACAAAAATATTTTGAATGTTATATAATATTAAATTGTGCTTATCATAGTTTAAAAGTAGGGAATAAATGTATGCAACGTATGTCATACAGTTCCGATGTTGGACTGGGATGTACAGATCGGCGTGAGTAAGTGGAGATGATGTCATGTCTGTAACAATATCAGTATTTAACAACACTAATCTTACACGTACGATAGCGATATGGTTCAAGATATCACATATGTATAAGGGATATGATATTATATATAATATTAAATGCATCGCCCGTTAGATTTCAGTAAATAAGTTAGTAGTTGATATTTTCTGAAAGTTTATCTTTTTTCTCTGTAGCGTAGACATTTTATATAAAAAACAGGCTAAGTTAATTACTCTCAAAATTATTTGAAGAAACTAGGAACCTACTGAGGATCGTGCAACAGTGTGCGACTTACGGTGTGAATGACGAGCACACCCTTTCGTATTAGTATCTCCAGTGGCTGCCGATCTAAAAGTATACCGAACGGGCTGTACACTACACGTCCCTCCGAAAGCTTTCCACTTAGGTCTTAACTTTTGAATTTTATAAATAATTTGATAAACCTTTGTTCATTACTGTCTTACTTCCGTACAGTAAGAAGTAACAGGTTACAGGAGTTTCTAAAATTACCTATTAAGCGCTTAATTTGTGCTTATACGTTAGTAGACACCACATTATAATAACATGAATCCACTAAAAAGTAGGTACGGATATAACAACATGCCGTTATTTTAAGATTAATGTTTTTTTTTAAGAATTCACACAAAATCCAATCACGCTATATATTGTTCGGCGTATTTTTTAGTATTTTTATCGCACACCATGCACGACACCGATACAAATAGACAGTGGGCACTACTAGACAAAAATGTGGTTTATTCTTAACGTGCGCATAGAGAATTTCATTTGAAATGTAAGTTATACAATTGCTTTTACGTAGATTAAATCCATAATTATAAATTTTAAATACATTTTTATTATTATATTATATTAAGCATTTAATGGAAAAATTATTAAATCCTGTTAATATTGCTATTATTAAGTGATATATTATTGATCCAAATGTTAAAACTTATCGTTGCTAATTCGTGGTATTTGTCGATTTTAAATATTGTAATTTGATAGATATTTTACAGTTTATGCTTATTAATTATTGTAAGGTGTTTTCGTATTAAACATTTTAGATTAAGATCTAATTAAGTAGTAAGTTCAGACGAGTTTGTTACACAAACGGAATACAACAAAAATGTAGTGTAAAACTAATATAAACACGAGACTCCAGCCGGATGTTTTACTTACCTATAGATTAAACATGGATCCGCTTTTGGATCATGATTCTGGATCCAAGTGGATGGAGTGGTTTCAGTCCCAGAACGATATGTACTAAATGTTGTCAAATATAAAAATACTACAAAAATATGAGAGCACTACATGAAATGAAAAGCACTATAGATATATGAAAATAGTAGTTATAAATATTAAGAAATAAACCTAGAAACTAGTTACCGTAACGTGCAACAGAGTGGGGAAGTAAATATTTCTTGAAAACTTTCTTTAATATATATCCGTCGTTTATTTTTAGGTGGTTTAATCCCATCCCTAAAATGTAATCAATGTAAGTGACAAATATATTTAGTACCATAGGCAAAGAAGTACGTAGAAGCTCTAATTTGGAATTACATAATTGTGTGCATAAAAACAACAGTATAAGACACAATTTCACACATGCTCAACTTAAAAAAATTCCAAATAAAATAGGCGAGTTCGAATTATCATCAGACCCTTATCGTCGACAGATCTAGCAAGTTGACAGCATTTGGACGATCTTTACTTTTCCATCACTAAATTGTGTTGCAGTTAATTGCTTAATGAATGCCAATGGTGTTAATAATAATGTCTAGATATAAAAATCAATTGCTGTACAATAGTCTCGCTAAAACTCGAAAACGGCTCGTTTGAGTGATTTAAATTGGCAACTGGCCCCGGTAGGTGGCACTGTTGTCGAGGTCCATAAATCACCCATGCGAAGCCAGGGCAAATCGCTAATCAGTTATAAAATTCAGTTATAAAACTGATTAGCGACAGTTATGAAATTCAACATACTATTACACAGTTAAAGTATCTTCACCATTTTATTTTAATTATGTTGAATTTATTGAACCATCCGTTTTGAAATTCAAAACTATGAAAAGGTAAATATTTGATGGCATTTTTTCATGAAATGTTTCAATAAAATTAAGGCGTAATACGTAAATAGATTTTTAGTTTAATGGGACTCCGTTGAATCTAGTGTAAAAAATAGCTAATGAAATATTGAACTAAGGTATGTACTAATATGGTATTTTGGATGTTAGGTCAACGGTCAAAACACTTTAGCTTTCTAAGAAACCCTTAAACATTATATTAATGATCGTTATATTTCATAACCTTGATTAAACAATGGAAAATGATTTTTTATCTATCCATTTTCCGAAAATAATGTAATAACTTAAAAATTATGAGTTAAATTTGAATGGTCTTATTTATAAAAATAAAGTGTGCTTTTAACATCCTGTAACTAATCATAAGGAGGCTAATGAAATGCCACTTGAGGCTTTTATTTTATGAATAATTGAGGTTTCATTTCAGAATAGTGGTATAAGTAGTAGTAGTCAAGTCCTAGCTATAATGGGCTGGGGTTTGAATAGTAACTTAAAATAGGTTATTTAAGTTTTCAAACTTAATTGTGCTTATATATTTGGAATAACCGCGTGTTTAATGACCACTTGCATTAACATTGAAACTTGTTTGGGCGTTACGATACAGAACGTTGCAAAGATCAGGATACTGTTAACAATATGAGGTGCTAAAGTATTGCATCAGTTATTTCTTTATGTTTTCCAAAGTAATGGTAAGATAAATATCTGATTAGTACAATATTTATCAATAGTACAAATGTTAGAAAAGGCATTTTACGAGAAATAATGAATTTTCAAGCATTTTTTCAAACTCTGATGCTCGTGGAACAAGAGCTATTGCTTTAGCGTAAGAACAACAGTTCTAAGTTTTTACTTTCCTCTTACTATAAATATCCTTCACTACTACAGCAAAATGTGGTAAAATGTTTTACCTTGTTTCTTATTATAGTTTGACCTTTTATAAAATATTTTATTATGTAATATAAAACTGTAATATTTATATAACTTTGTATGAATAGAACCGCAAATGTTTACCTAGCAAATAAACGCACGTAACTATTTTGCAAATAATCCTCATAATATACAATATGTAACGTAATTAACGCACACCCTCAGACACCCCAATCAGTATATTATGTTATAATCATTATACATACAATGAATTTTTAATTAAATATGTTTATGCATTGATTATTTATTAAATTTGTTATACTAATTCCGGAACAATGTTGTGTTCACAGTATAAATCCACGAAGGAACGCACGCAGGATCGCTCACGTAGGTAGTAGGTATAGGTTTTGAGGGTCATGCTATCCCAGTAGGTATTCGCTCGCGTTCGAGACGAGTTACCGCCGCCGTCGCTTGACACAACTGTAGGTATGTATTAGAGTGCCGAAAAAAGCCGACATCGGACAATACACAATTGTTTATGTTAAAAAAATACCTATCTATGAACACTAACTGATCTGAACTGAACTAACTGAGCATCGAGTTGTTTATTAGGTCTAGTAAACATGTGATTCCATTTTTACATCACACTTCAATCTTTGGACTGTCGACTGTGAATAATTTTGTTTATTGATTACGATACAATGTTAATAGGCAATATTCGTTACAAACTGTTATGCATTAGCATAACATTTTAATTGTAATTGTAAATAATAACGAACTGCTAAAAATAAGAGGCGACAATACTTCCACCATAATTCAAATACGGCGTAGGTATTTAAAAGATGTGAATCTAAATATTTACAATAATTAAAAAAAAACAAATACTTAACTTACTGATACCTGATAGCCTAAACACTCATGCAACGTTCACGTTGTGTTTTTAATACACTTTCAAAATGTCCACCACCTTGTTCAATACATTTTAATGAGCGTTTTCTTAACTGGTATTTTAATTTAGAAAGCACTTCAGTGTCATTTTTCACTATTTCAAAAGCGTTCACTATCTTATTTTTAGGTCCTCGGCACTTGTTGTCTCACTAAAATAGACTAATGATTTAATACGTCCCCACAAAAAAAGTCAAGAGGGGTCAAATCAGCTGATCTGGGAGGCCACTGAACCGGGCCGCCACGTCCGATCCAGTACTCTCCAAACTCATTATCAAGGTGCTGTCGAACACTCCTAGTAAAATGAGCAGGGGCACCATCGTGTTGGTAGTATACCTCTTGTAAATTGTTAAGAGGTATGTCTTCTAGCAGCGTAGGTAAAGTTTCTCGTAAAAACATTAAATATGCGTCTCCTGTTAATCTTTGTAAGAACACAGGCCCCAGTATGTCACCAATATATAAATTACCAATGATACCAGCCCAGACGTTAACTGAGAAACGGTGTTGGAAGGAATCTACTCTGCATGCGTGAGGATTTTCGTGCATCCATAAATGTGTGTTGTGTTGACTGTACATCCCCACACGTGTGAATGTACTTTCATCTGTCCAAATTATGTTCCGCTGCCAATTTTCTAATAACCAACGGCTGAACTGCAAGCGTGGCGCGTAATCGTTTGGAGTCAACTCCTGGCATCTTCTGAGGTGGAATGGATGGATGGATGTTCTTTATCACTACCAAGTGTTCTCCACAATGCATATGACTACATTGAAAGCGTGGGGCTGCTTCTCGAGTACTGGCATGGGGATTCTCATCGGAATAGTCCAGTATTTCGTTCTAAAGACTACTACGTGTACGCAACATTGGCTCCCCTGTCGATGGCCGTGTTCGGACGGAACGTTCCGTGGTCACGAAGCCGTTGAGTAGCAGCTAACATAGTCCTGCGGTCTATTCTTGTACCATACCTTTGGTTGAATGTACTGCAAGCTAGAGCCACATTATCACCACACTGTGCCAAAGTCCTTACCATTTCGGTGTACTGAACGTTGCTGTATTGGAAAGACATCGCGCACGAAAAATTATTTGCAAAAATTCTCGTGAGCACTTTCTACTCATAATGTCCGCGCGTTACTAATTATAACTAATATTCTTTTCATTTAAGTTAGCTTTCATCGTCGCCGGCTAGCGCGGAGCGCCCGCGCCGGTAACGTGCTATCTCGCTCTATCCCAGGTTCCCAGGAAATAAGGTTCATTTTTCTTTATTTTGTATTGAATGACGGAGTTTGTATTAATACAAATAAAACTGCACTTTTAAAAGTCTTATTGCCTTGAGTTACGGTCCATTTCAGTTTGTTTTGACTGTACAGGTTTAGTGTGACTGTAAATTACGTATTTTCAATTAATTTTGGGATAAAAAATTACCTATATTAAAAATTATAGAAATCGATTCAGTAAACGCTTCTGAACAAACTACTTTCTCAAAGTGCGTTAATTATGTTACATGTTGAATTAAAGAGGCGTTACCTAAATATGTAATTAGCATTATTATAATGATAACAATGAGAATATAAAGTCGACACAATCATATACAAAATGTTTAACTATACTCCAATATTAACATTATAATATTTATATATAACTGTATGCTGATGAACAGATGCTTACAATAAGATAATATTTTTATTACATACTTTTATTAGTACACATATCCATAACAAGTTTAATCAGTATTAGTAAACGTTATCAGAATTAATGTATTTATATCTTTTTAAACTTTAAATAAAATTAAGCAACATAATAATCAAAAAATCCCTCTTGTTTTATTGTTTTGTAGTTATTGTGTTCCTCAAGTAGGGTCAACAAAAAAAATAGAAACCTTTTGTCAAAACCTATTTAATAGCCTTCAGCTGGACATAGAGATTATGAATATTCTATAGATCTCTACAATTGCAAATGAAATAAAACGTTAATTAAATTTCCTCTACAATATTTTATATATTTTTTTATTCCTCTAAATGCTGTGAAGAGACATTGTGTGAACAATATAAAAAAAACTTCATAATACGTTAAACAAGACTCATCATCACTCACTCTCATTTACATGTTTAAATGTAACTTATACGGATAAAACGCGCAAGTATGCATGTAAGTATTTAAAATATACAAATAGAATGATGTTTTAAAATTTATTATGGCTATTCCCGCTATTCCGTAACCATTTTGTGACGTTTCATTTTCAACCGTCTCGTCTCAACCGATTTTTATTACTTTTTTAACATATTTCATTTTATATTCTTAACTTCGATGGGTAATTTCCTCATATTACGTATTAAAGCCATATCGATCCTGCTGTTATATTATTTTCTGTATTATTTGGAATGAGTCTGTAAAGTAAGGTAAAGTTACAGTAAAAATAATATTCGTCTTACTGCTAGGCACTGGTCTTAGAGGATTATGAAACTAAATATCTGCCCCGCTGCCTTAACACCGATTTACACTTCGACAAGCACAGTAGCGAGTAAACTTGCGAACCTGGCGAGTTAAGTTTGAACCCCGTTTGAACGGCAATAAGCGAGTTAAGTAGCAAGTTTACGATTAAGTTGATCGGGATAGCCGGCGGAGCTATTTTTCGGCGAGTTAAGTGCGAAGTGCTGCCCTCCCGCGCGTCTCCCGCCACCCGCAACTAACTCGCCGTTCGTGTAAACGAGCGAGTTTAGTTCAGTGCATAAGTTGACAGGACGCAAAGTTTGCGCGCCAAAACGTACAATTGTACATTTATAATTAAATTCGCCACAAAGTTTGTACGTTACTATTTATTGAATATAAAACGTTTTATATTGGGTTTATATATATATATATATATATATATATATATATATATATATATATATATATATATATATATATATATATATATATATAAATAAAATATGTGTGTGTATATATGTATATATATATGTATATATGTATATATATAGTAATGTGGTAGAAGTACAGGAATGCTTATATTGGTAAAAGTTCAAATTGTTAAATTAAACCTGCTTGAGATGCTGCACTCATGAAAATTCTTAAAAACTTCATTAACGACAACCATTAATACTTCTCTGACTGGATCATTTAATTCTTGACGTAATCCTAGAACCATCTTAAATGAAAACCAGAAAAACTCTGTAGTCTTGAAACGTCATAATCCAACGAACACTATGAACTAATGTTCTTTCCATATATACACTCTTATCTATCCTAACGTTCTTAACTAAACTCGCCACGAAGGCATTGTTTGAACGCTACTGCCCACTTAACTGTTTACTGTCAACTGCCCTGTAACTAAACTCGCTACTGTACTTGTCGAAGTGTAAATCGGTCTTTAGTGCGTGTTAACAAACACGTCAACTGTCACACAAAACGTCAGACAAGACAAAATAATGTTGTGTTAGTGTCACTGAATCCTGCATGTCTTTTAATAAATTGCAAAAATTTCCTGAAATAATTATTCGTTAATTGATGCTAGGCAATCATTTTAAACAAATTGGTAATTTATCTTAATATAAATAAGTATAATAATTGGTTTTATTTCATATCGTCATTCACGTTTTTTTTCTTAGATAAACTGAAGTGACAAAGGAACTTACAGTCCACCTGACAATTTCATACTAATCAATTTTTGGCACGGAATGATTGTGTGTGTGTGTGTTGTCATCTCTGAGAACTAAGACGATAAAATATGATAAATTTCAATGATTTTTGTTATACTGGCTGTATTTGGTGCTTATACTGCTGAGTTTTGGTCGCAAGGGTATGCAGACCGAAACACAGCAGTATAAGCATTTATTTATTTATTTTAAAAACTTTATTGGGTCCCCTTAAAGGGCGGACTTAATGCCTAAAGGCATTCTGTACCAGTCAACCCATGGAGTGATGAGAGTTTGTCGTAGGTGTAGCAATTTAAAAAAAAAGATAAATATTCGTGCATTTACATATATTAAAACATATTCATAGTATAAATACATTTATATGCTAATAAACATACATAATAGAAGGACCACAGTCCAGCGTGGATAGCTTTCCAATACCCACAGTTCCGAGGAAATTCCACACTTCGGTAGGAGATGAATTGTTTATGCAGTTATGGAAATATGGGCATTGCTATTTGGGGGCAATTATTTTCTGTAACCGTAACGCATGGGGTCAGAATTCAGAGGAAGTGAGTTATTCGCAGCACTACTTGTTCTAGCCTTGACACTGCTCCTTGTCAGCGATGAATATTTTGTCTGACATAATATAAAGGTGGTTATACCGCCATCTATGGGACATGACACCCATCGTAATGAGTCAAAGAGCAACACGGGCCACCAGCGGATCAGAAGAGCGTATTCATACTCAGGCGATCCCCTCTATCAAAGTATAAGTTCACGCAGTCCTATGCGTACAATAAAACTGGTTGCAGGGGCACTGCTCACTAGACTAAATCACTACGGCTATTTCCTTCCGTTTCGCAGGTGGCTTGTGTTGCTCTATGAAAATGAGATGATGAATTTCCTTGCTATTGATTTAAATAAACTAAAGGGAGAAAAACTACGAAACTACATGTTTGGCGACAGCGACATCTTTCGGTTACTGACAAAAGCTGAAATAAGTGCATAGTGTATTTTAGTACATGATGTGTTCACTGGAGTATCAATACGCTTTTTAAGTTAGGACGGAAATTCACTTAAAATTGGCAAATATTCCGCATAACCAAAATTTTTTTAAATTAGATAAATAAAGTAATATCGAAAAATCATCTGAAATCAGGGTTAGACCTAGTTATGTTCAGTTGTGTTATACTTTTTCAAGACGAACACAAATTATAGGAATATTTTCGTCCAATATAGAATTCATCAGCAATAAACCTTCACTATATGGTTGTAATCTCGCAATATACATTGTTTCACCGATATTTCGAATTTATCAATCATTAGTAGTAATAGTGTAGTCATCTCAACACAAATCATATAGATCTAGTAAATGTAACAAAATGATGGTCAATAAATCATTTACAATAAGTAAAGGAGTCATAACCTCATAAGAGAAAGATAATAATGGGGATAATAACATAGTACGAGTATATAAACGAAACCAGTGATGTGGTAGAAGTAGTCGTTTTCGTCCTAGAGGCCGCTCAAGAAGCTTTTTCTTCTTTAGTTGTAGGTTCTTCAGTTACAGCGGTTACCCACAAGGAAGTAAGCAATCTACGTAGGGCAGGATTATAATGCCCGATCGTATGCGCAAGCATAGGTGCAATCACTCCCATAGTCCGATGAGACGGTAAGCCGACACGACCGGACGACCGGAGAGAGATCAGGCGTAATACCAAGGGCTTCACGTGCTTACCGACCTTAAAAACTTTGTGAACTGACGATAGCGAACAGCAGTCTGTACATAAGTATGACAGTCTCGGTTCTGCGTTCATTAACCCACTAATAATTATAACTATATCAAATTTCTTTTAGAAAAGTACGTCCGCTTGAACGGGAAAATTGTTAAAAGTAGACATAATTTGTTCAACTCACAGTAAACTTAAAAAGGCTGCAGATGACGTTAATATTACACCATTGGATGTATTTAACTACTAAGTACATTGCATGTATTAACTAAAATTTAAAGTTCTCGTATAAAATAACCATTGTTTAACATAAACACAGCAATTCATAACCGAAGTATGAACAATCTCTCGAAATCTGTCACTTTTTACACAGCATTTACCTATAGAATCAATCTTCCTTATATTTCATAAACGAACACTGAATTGTACCCAACTTGTATGTAGTTTTACGAAATAACATACTCGTAATTACTCATATGTAACTTTGATTATTTTTCATGTTTTTTATGATAACTAGGTCGGCTGCTACCCGAGAACCTTTCTTCTCCATCAGTTGTAGGTTCTTTGAGCTACGCGCAGTCTGAATTTAAACTTTGACTTCGTTCTGGGGTTTATTTTGTTTATGAAATGCTTTGTAGTTTAATTAGACACACGGCACCTGAATCGTTCACTGGGGGCACCATATTGACTTTAATTACCAG